CAATAGCACAGCGGTAGGGCGTTTGCCTTGCATGCAGCCGGCTCAGCAGAGCCAGGTTCGATTCCTCCGCCCCTCTCGGAGAGCCCGGCAAGCTACCGAGAGTATCTCAATATGCCAAACACAGTAACAACAAGTCTCACAATGGAGACGTTACTGGGCCCGCTCGAGCAAATTGATGAACAACGGGAGGACCGTGACCGTGACCATTATCTGCCCACCATAGCACTGGATGCTGTTGGTTGGACGGATGGATGGATGGATGGATGGGTGGATGGGTGGATGGAGAGATAGCTCCCTAACATCATTCCTTCTCTAGCAGCCTCTCCCCAACCCTGAGTAAAGCACACTTCCTTTGGCCGGCAGCACCTCTGAAATCTGAAATCCTTTCCTTTCTGCCGTTAGTCGTCCCCCAGCAGGTCCACCCTTGGGTAATACCACGTCTCCCAGTATCATTTCATGTGGATGTTGATGAGAAAAAAAAATCATCTCTACTTTCATGGAACAGAATGACATGATTTGAGGACACTCTGTCATTTTGTATCATTTTTGTTTAATGTCAATTTCCAAGAACTTGTCCCAACAACTCTGTGAGACACACTGTACCCTCAGCTGGTCTGAGCCTCTCTGGTCCAGTGACTCTCCCAGGTGCGTCCTCAGCCAGGATCTCAAAGATTTCCTCTTAATGCCCTTTCCATCATTTCTTCCCTCCTCCTCTCCCTCCCTTCCTTCCTTCCTTCCCTCCTCCTCTCCCTCCTTCCTTCTTTCCCTTCTTTCTTTCCTTCCCTCCTTCCTTCCCTCCTTTTCTCCTTCCTTCCCCCTCCCTCCCTCCCTCCCTCCCTCCCTCCCTTCTTTCCTTCCTTCCCTCCTTCCTTCCCTCCCTCCTTCCTTCCTTCCTTCTTTCCTTCCTTCCTTCCCCCTTTCTTCCTTCTTTCCCACCTTCTTTCCTTCCTTCCTTCCTTCCCCCTTTCTTCCTTCTTTCCCACCTTCTTTCCTTCCCTCCTTCCTTCCCTTTCTCTCTGCTTTCCCTCTTCATTCTTTTTTCCTCTCTCTCTTTCCGTCTCTTCACCTAGGCCATCTTCCTTGTGCCCTCAGACCCTGCCTTCACTCTTTTTTTGTGGTTGGTTGGTTGTTTGGCTGGTTGGTTGGGGTTGGGGGCGGCATGTCTGCCTGTGTTCAGGGCTTCCTTCTGGCTTTGTGCTCAGGCATCACTCCCTGAGGGGCTCGCTCAGGGGACCGTATGTGACGCAAAGGTTCAAACCCAGGTCAGCTGCATGCAAGGCAAGTGTTGTCTCTCCCTCCCACTGTCTTCATTCTTAGAGTCTCCTCTGGAGAATCATGATAACTGCGGCCATTGCACCGATTAGCATCCGAGACCAGAGAAAACGCGAACCCTTTCAACCCACACACCTAAGCTCTTCTCGGCTCTCTCATTACTACCAAATCCTTCCCCAAAGCCTGTGTAATTTGGCCTTTGGATTTATCCCGCTGGCTTATTGGCACTTCAAAAGCCCTTTCTAATTGCTGTCTGCTCCCAGTGAGACTCTGCTTCCATGATCTGAAAACGGCCTTCTCATAGAGTCCCTTCCCTGCCTTTATTTTAGTGCAGCATCCGGCGTGTGTCTTGAATGAGGAATTTCTTTTCCTGAAATAACTATGCATTCAATTAGCCAAAAGCGTGCTCCTTCTCTCTCTCTCTCTCTCTCTCTCTCTCTCTCCCCCTCCCTCCCTCCCTCTCTCCTCCTTTCTCCCTCTCTCTTCCCCCTCCCTCCTCTCTCTCTCTCTCTCTCTCTCTCTCTCTCTCTCTCTCTCTGCACCTGTGTCTAGAAAGGCACATAGATGCAGATGCATGCATTTGGATTGTCTGAACACAGACTCCAAGGTGCTGAATTCCACATTCCATGTCAGTGCAGAGACTTTCTTTCATGGATCATTGTGGGGGCCATTGGGATCACACTGAATGTAGAGACCGGCACCCCTTCTCCTCGCTCCCCGTTCTTCCAAATATCTCTTCAACTGACTGCGCAAAAAAAAAAACCCACAACTGACTGCAGGTCCGGACTGTCTCAGAAATCCTTCTTCTCTGGCGTGTCCGCTCTTTATTTTAAACTATCTTCAATAGCCCTTTTCAGACCCTGTGCCCTCCTGTATCTAAAGGCCTTTGTTCCATAAGCAATTTCTCCATTCCATGGTGGCTTATCTGACAGTTTCCCATTTACCTTCTACTTATTATTGCACTCGACTTTGAATTTTAAAACCCCACTGTGACTTGAAAACGACTTAAAGGATCTTGAAGGACAAAATCAGAAGCCTAGATTAGCAATTACTATAAATCTGGCAGAAAGAAAGAATTTTTCCCCCCTGTTTGGACCCATGTGAAGACTTGCGGCTCAAATGTAATCCAGACGCGGCCTCGAATGAAGCTGGTATCCTGGGAAAATGTCTTTCTATTCCACACAGCCCTCTGCTGATTTCCCCTTTTCACTCTCACTCGCGGAAGAGATTCCTGAGATGATGTCTTTGTTATCTGAATTCTGGGGAAATTAAGCCTCGTTTGGGCTGAATAGAAATTCCTTCTCTTGTTGCCTTCCCCATCGACTGCTTTCTGCAGCGTTTAGTGAAGCAACAGTGTCTGCTAAGGGCCAGCCCGCTTGAGTCTCTGCCCTTTCTCTGGCCCGTGAAGACCACCTGGCAGTGGAGGCAGTGAGGGGCTCTGGGGCTTGTGAGGAGGAAGAGGCAGGGACAGCTCAGAGATGCTTAGCTGATGTGTGTCCCTACGCATGCAGTGCTTGGCCATAAACTGGGCTGGGTTTCCAGGCTCGAGGGTGCAGAGTTGTTCTGGGGGCCTCTGGGGCCACACTCAGCCTCCTCGTGGTGGGGGGAGACTTTGTGAAGGCTGCTGGGAGTCACGACCACCCCCTCTTCAGCAAACCTGCCTGCCCCAGTTCGTTTGAACCAAGCAGCACATTAGCTAACGAGGGGCAGCCTGTCCTGACACCCCGCATACAGCCGTTCACGTCTGACAGCAACCCCGGGAAAGCAATGCCAGCGTCTCCCCAGGTTGCAGAGGAGCTCCTGGGGGCCGTGAGCTCTGAGCTTTGCCCAGCAGGTCGAAAGAGGGAGAGTCCCTGACTAATCCACGCAGTCAGGCTCTAGGGGCCACGTCCCTAACCCTGAGTCACTTAAGATATTAAGCCCCGGACTCTGGGTTCCCAAGCGGTGAGACAGACAGAGACACCAACTCGATAATGCAAAAACAGTAGGAGTTTTATTCTGCTATACTGGGGTCGGGCAGGAGCGATAGCACAGCAGGTAGGGCATTTGACTTGCACGCAGCCAACCCGGGTTCGATTCCTCCGCTCCTCTCGGAGAGCCCAGCAAGCTCCCAAGAGTATCCTGCCTGCCCAGCAGAGCCTGGCAAGCTCCCTGTGGTGTATTCGATATGCCAAAACCAGTAACAACAAGTCTCACAATGGAGACGTTACTGGTGCCCACTCGAGCAAATTGATGAACAATGGGAGGACAGTGCTACAGTGCTACATACCGGGGTCAACTATCTCACCCACAGAGTGGTCTCTTGATAGAGACCCGACCTTCAAGTACAAGGAATTTATATAGGGTTTGATTACATAAGCAGTACATGCCTTCTTGTTTCAGAAAAATCTTGCTTAGTTACCAAACAAAGGTGTTTGGGCAAGTGTCTAGGGTACCAGTGGTCAGGCAACAGTTAAACAATAATTTCCAGTAAAAGTATTAGTTTTATGATTACCTAGGCATCTCATTCTTTTAGGGTTAACAGAAAGCAACTTCTGGGGCATTGTGAGAACTGATTAATTGAGCCCACTTGCTGAGCCCAATGACCTTTCCCTGGTGGGCTCAGGTTGGCTAGGTACACATTGCGTCATTGCTGGGAAACTGAAACTGACTGAACCGAGGCCCAGCTGATTTTGCTGATTTCTGCGGGCCTGTCATGGCTGCACTCAGGCTTGGTCTGTGTCTCACTCGGGCTGAGTGCCGGGTACACACAGGTTTCTCACTGCACTTGTCGTGGAAGGTAGGGATCGCCATCGCAGTTGGATGCGATGCGTGTCCAGACTGCATCGAGAGAGAATCCAGGAGCTGGGTGATCTAACTCGCATTCACCAGACAGCCCCTAAGCACGTGGCACGCCGACGCAGAGGGGGGCACAGACCCCATGTCTGCTCAGAGAGAACTCTTCGCCGGGAGCCAGAGGTCCAGCAGTGCAGGGGTCTGGCCCCCTGCAGGAGGGGTGGCCATTCCTCGGCACATCTGGCCATGCGCCCCCACCCCAGGTGTGCTGGGGGACCACAGGCAGGGAGAAGGTTATCAGCAGAGGAAAGTGCGAGTTCAGACTCAGTGCGAGTCGGGAAGATGGGGATCAGGTGTCGGTGGCTGGATCGCTGAGAGGAATCAGGGGTGCAGAAAGGCCTTTAAACGAAGTAAAAAAAATTTAAAAAAAGGAGAGCGAGAGACAAGTGTTGATTTGAGTTCCCCCCGCTGTGCTGCTTTAACTCTGTCCCAGCAGTCGCCCTCTCAGACGCACACAGCCAAGTGGCTTGTTCCCGTTTGGGACACGTCACTGGCCGGAGTTTGTCTACCCGGGGGCTGAGGAGCGCGGGCTGCGTTGCAGATGGCCCCAATCTCAGATGCCCCCAAGGGGCGTGGCTCGCACCCCCCAGCAGGCCCCGTTTGCAGAGGTGGCCGGGCACTTGACAAGCCTGGGAAACAGAGGCCTCCCCAGCCCAGGTCACTGGCCTTCGTGGCGGGGCTCGGCAGAGCCAACCGTGTGATCCTGCCGGAGTTGATAAATGCTGAGTGGTCCTTTGGTGCAGGCTCCCCGGAAGCCGCTGTGTCACTGCCCACCAGTGTTTTCCCAGCCCCCGGCCTCCCTCTCACGTGCTGTTTTGCTCTAGCTGTGGTCTGTGCAGGACCCGGGCCTCATGACAACGCTTTCACATGCCCCTGTTCCTCTTTCCTCCCAGGCCAGAACAAGGTCTGCTTCATCCCGGGCATGGTGGGCCCTATCCTGGAGATGACGCTTGTTCCCGAGGCTGAACTCCGGAAGGCTACCATCCCGATCTTCTTCGACATGATGCTGTGTGAATATCAACGGAGTGGGGATTTCAAAAAGGTAAAGTAATAATAACGATAATAATGGACTGGAAATTCCTGCCCTTGTCCCTTCTCCAGAGTTCCACCTGCCTGGAACTGTCGGAAGGGGTCTCTTCCTGTGTCCCTTTGCAGCTGGCCAGTGGGCACTGGTCATATGTGCGCCTGCCAGAGGCCAAAGCTTCAAATGCACTTTCCCTTCATCAGGGTGGGGGCCGGGGTTGCTGGGGGCCCAAGGAGTTCCACAGCAGGGATGCAGGGTGAGCAACTCATGTAAATCCCCAGGGTCTCTGGCCAAGTGTGCTCACGGAGATGCTGCTCTCACTTGGTGGATGAGGCCTTTGGGGGGGGACACCCCAACCAGGACCCAGAATCCTTCCCACAGGATGTTCCGATCAGGGGTTCAGTACCGGCCAGTTGAGTTGGCTGCTCTCTCCAGGGTGCCTCGGGGGGGAGGGGCAGATCTCGCCCTGGCGTCTCCTGCAGCCTCCTCCCCCTGCAGCCCGCAGCCCTTCCCCTGTATCCTCTCCAGCCCCCGAAGATTTGTCCTGAAATAGGCACCGCGGGCAGGTCCTCAAGTCACGTGATTTTGTCCCTTCATCGAAGTGGTGATGAGGAGGTGGGGGGGAGTATGCCAGCCAATGTTAAATGAAATGATTGAATGAAATCATTTCAAGTGTCTCCCTTTTTAATTCTCATTTTGTTGAATCTCATTTTCCAAAAAAAAAAAAATGTTAGGAGAGGACTTCAGTTTGTAATCAACTAAAGGGTAGTTGATTACAAACTGCCTTTCCTTAAAAACTCTTGGGAACGTTCCCTCTTCTTGCTCACTGATTCTCTGTTCCTCACCCAGTACAGCCCAGACCTTCTAGCCCTGCAGGACTCTCCTCGCTCTGGGCCTTCAATGGAAATTTTGAGCCATTGTTTCCTGCTTTTCTCCGATCTCCATCACCCCCATCCTAGGGCTCTGAGTGAGCATTCTTTGCACACCGGAGGCTGTGCTCCCCTTGGCTCTGCCCCCAGCCCTCCTGTATAATCTCTGCACTGTTGCCAAGTGACGAAAGGAAAGGCAGCGTCTGGAGTAGGGTTCCCAGGTTAAATCCTCGGGAGCCCACAAGTGTCACCCGCTCAGAGCTCCCTGAGCCAAGGCTCGCATGATGCACAGTGAGCAGATTCGTTTCCTTCCCGGCTGTACCTACATAAGAAGCCGTGAGGAGAGACTCCTTTCTGCCAGGTGCTCCGGAAAGCATCTTTCTAAAGGAACTAGAGCCTGGTGGCTGGGGCGATACCCCAATGAGAGGGGGCTGCGGGGCTGCGGGGGGTGTCTAATCCCAGAAAGCCCATGGCCAGCTGTACCCTGGGCGTGGAACCTGGAAAGAAATTAGGCTGAGGGTTTCTCTGGCACCTTGGGGCTGGGGGAGGCGGAGCCTCAGGCTGAATGTTGGTCAGCATTTTGCCATTTGCTGCCCTTTAAGAGGGGCGCAGCGCCTGCAGATTGGGGGAATGTACAGTGGGTCCCACCTGAAACGAAGGGCTTCATGCTCGCTCTCAGTGCTCCTCCAGAGGTGGGCGCCCCCTGGCTTAGGAGACGTCCTGGAGACTGCAGAGGGGGACAGTCACCGCCCCGGCGGGTTTGGCGACCTGGCCCCTTCCCAGGCTTGCTGTAGTGGTTTCTTGCCCTCAGGGGCTTCCCAATCACGGGGACCCCCTGTTTTCCAGGTCAGCCCGGGGCCCTGTGCTGCAGACAGGCAGTCCTTGAAAGCAGGATTCCCCAAAGCTTCTCTTCCTCGCTCCCTTATCGAAAGAGACAGGGCAATCAGGCTGCCTAATGGATGGAAATATCCATTTGGCAGATTCCTCTGAGACTGAATCTTGGCGTGGAGTAAGTTGGTGATCCAAATGGCTGATAATATAAGGTGTAACAGAGCAAAGCAGTTCCACGAGTATGTCCCGGGCACCTCCTGACTCCCGGACACTGCTTTGGAGGCCGACAGATTTGCTCCTTATTAGGTAATACACGCGTTAACCTCTCTCGGTCTCAGTGTATCTATAAAGTTGGCATTATAAATACTGCCGGAGCTTTCCCACTGCAGGCAGAGGCTTGGGGAGCTGTCGAAACTCCTAGGTTCCCCCGCTCACCTGAGGCTATTCTGTACCTTCCCCCAATCTTTTTTTTTTTTAATTTTTATTAGTGAAACACCATGAGGTACAGTTGTAGACTTACAATTTTTTGTGCTTGGGTTTCAGTTGTACAATGATCGAGTACCCATCCCTCCACCAGTGCCCATTCTCCACCACCACTGATCCCAGTATCCCTCCCACCCCCCATCCCCCATCCCACGCTGCCTCTGTGGCGGGGCATTCCCTTTTGTTCTCTCTCTCTTATTGGGTGTTGTGGTTCGCAAAAGAGGCGTTGAGTGACAATCATGTTCGGCCTATAGTCTACTTTCTACATCCATCTCCCATCCTGGGAGGATCCTCCCAGCACCCTTTATTTGGTGCTTCCTTCTCTATCAGAGCTGCCTTTTCCCTTAGCGTGTGTGACTGGCCTCCAAGCCTTGGAGTAAACCTGGTACTTATCCTGGTACTTATCTCAGCTATTCTTGCCTTCCTGCAGTCTTGCTCTGCCCAGCCCAGGATGGCCAGTGCTGGGATCCTAGTCCCACCAGCATGACCTCTCTGCCCCTCATGCAGCCCCATCAGCCACCTGGGCTAGAGGAAGAGCTCCCTGCCCCTCAGCAGGGTGCTCCACTGGCCAAGCTCCTCCTCCTGGAAGGGTCAGGGTGAGCCAGGTGATGAAAGCAGCCAGCATGCTTAAAGCATCAGCAGGGGCAGCGACACAGCAGAGAAGCACTAGGGCACAGCCAGGCCCCTAGGACTCTCTCCCCTCGCCCCCCAAATCCGACTTCTGTGGGCTCCTGTGGCTGCTGACTTCCACACATGTGACCTGCAGGGGCGCTCCCAACTCGCACCTGCCTGGCAGGAGTGGACGAGGCCTCATTAGGGAGACCCCTCCCTGGAAATGTGGGTCCATGAGGCATAGGCTTGGGAGGGCTGGGCCAGTCTTCCCCAACGTGGGTGGATCATGCCATGCCCTACGGTCTACTGGAGCTAAGGGGGTGTGGGGGGGGGGCAGCCATAACCTCAGGTGCATTGAGGGCCCCTTCCTGATAGTTCTCTTAAGGAAGATGTATTTCTAGGGATGCTGAGTAATGATTTTTTTTAAACAGGCGGACATAGGCTCAGTAAGTTTGGGGACCTCTGAGGGAGCGATCATGTGCTCAGTTCTGCGTATTGACACTGTTTGGGATGGGCCTTCCACGGGCACATGATGTGAGGAATGTATGTGAGATCCTTGCTCTCCTCTCCCTTAAAGCCCAAGCGGAGGTGGTGCTTTGACTCAGTTTCCTCATTTGCACAACGGAGACCATGCTCTCCGTCCATCCCCTCCCACGTTTTTAAATACTGGGTGAGACCGTGATACTCCTGGGGGTGACAAGGCCACCGGCAGCCTGAGGAGAATTGCTAGCCACTGTTCTTCCCGACCAGGCGCCACGTGCCAAGTTCGGCCTTCCCACCTGCGGTTCCCCATTCTCCCTCCCCGCTTCCCTGAAAAGTGGGTGCTATCTTCATTCTGTGCATGGGAAAACCGGCTCCGAAAGGGCCGCTAGCTTGCCCAGCCTCAGTTGCATGCAGGGTGAAGTGAGAGCCGGAAGGAAGTGGACCCCGGTGGGCGCAGACGTCTCTGGTCAGAGCCAAGCGCCACGTCCAGCCCAGACTCTGCCCCGGCTGTGCTGCTCTGAGAACTCTCCGTCTCCAGCACCCTGAGGGCTCAGGCGTGGCGGATGTCAGGCAGCTCTGCACACTCCCGGGCACCCTGTAATTTTCCTCCCCGCGGGCTCTTCGTGACCCCAGACAAGTGCTTATTTACCGCATCCACACTCGGCTCTGAAGGCAAGTGCGGCTCCCAAGGAAGCGTGCCGACAGTTACTATTGAGCCACTCAAACAAGAGGAAAATGCTCCTTTTCTGCCTCAAGCTGCTTTTCAGTAACATTCAGCAGCAGGAACAATAGCAGACGCAGCCCCTGAACGGGAGGAAGGCCCAAGCAGCCTCCCGCACTTCCCAAGTGCCTCCTAGCTAAACTCTCCCCCAAGCCTCCAACTATTAGGGCTGGGGGGGACCCACTTCTGTGCCTGTTCTAACGATGGGGGGCCCACAGACTCTGGCCAGGTCTGCCCTGGGCCCTGGTTTTGTAAGTAACAGTCTTCTGGGGTCACCCTCCGCCTTCCCGAGTGGCTGCAGCACTGAAATGTTTCCTGCTTTAAAGGGAACATTTACCAACCCCGATGCACCTCTGAAGCCCAGGGTCAGTAGGATCCACCAGCTTCCCTGAGATGGTGCAGGGGACAGAGGGGACATTTGAAGCCAGGCAGCCTGACCCCAGCGCCCACTCCAGGGCCCCAGGCTTGGTTGGCATGGGAGACTTCTTTTTATATATATATATATATATTTATTTTTATTGAGTCACCTTGAGATACAGTTACAAGCTTTCATGTTTGAGTTTCAGTCATACATAATCAAACACCCATCCCTCCACCAGTGCACATTCTCCACCACCAATGTCCCCAGTATCCCCCACCATCCCACCCCTCCCCGTGCCTCTAGGGCAGACAATTTCCCTCATACTCACTCTCTACTTTTGGGCATTATGGTTTGCAATACAGATACTGAGAGGCTAACACGTTTGGTCCTTTATCTGCTTTCAGCACACATCTCCCATCCCGACTGATTCCTCCAGTCATCATTGACTTAGTGATCCCTTCTCTATTCCAGCTGCCTTCTCTCCAAGCTCATGAGGCAGGCTTCCAACTGTGGGGAAATAATCCTGACCCTCGTGTCTACTGTCCTTGGGTGTCAGCCTCATGTTATTTTATATTCCACAAATGAGTGCACGCCATTCTATGTCTGTCCCTCTCTTTCTGACTCATTTCACTCAGCATGATACTCTCCAGGACCATCAACTTATAAGCAAATTTCATGACTTCATCTCTCCTAACAGTTGCATAGTATTCAAATGTGTAGATGTACCAAAGTTTCTTTAACCAGTTGTCTATTCTCGGGCACTCAGTTTTTTTTTTTCCAGATTCTGGCTATTGTGAACAGTGCTGCAATGAGCATACAGATGCAGATGTCATTTCTACTGTGCTTTTTTGCACCCTCAGGATACATTCCCAGAAGTCGTATTGCAGGGTCAATTTCTAGTTTTTGAAGGAATGCCCATATTGTTTTCCAAAAAGGCTGGACCAGTCGGCATTCCCACCAACAGGGAAAGAGCGTCCCTTTTCCCCCACACCCACACCAGCACTGGTTGCTTTTGTTCTTTTGAATGTGTGCCAGTCTCTGTGGCGTGAGATGATGTCTCATTGTAGTTTTGATTTGCATCTCCCTGATGAATAGCGATGTGGAGCATTTTTTCATGTGCCTAGCACGGAGACTTCTGCAGTCAGCCCTGAGCTGCAGCTTTGGATAATGCCATGTCCATCTGTAATGCATCGGCTAAGGGGCACATCTCCTATGCAGCAGGACAGGCCTAGACCCCGGCAGGTCGACCTCCATCAGGATACCCTGCCTTCCCATCGCCCTTCCCTCTGAGGCGCTCTCCCTCTCACCCTGCCTGGAATGCGCTTCCTCTCCGTGTCTTACCACGACCCACAGAGGGCAGGGCCGTCAGAGCCCTCAGAGCCTTTGTACACCTGAGACTCCTGACCGATTGCTCCTGCCTGTTTCATCTTCATGCAAGCGTTGATTATAAATCTTAAGAATGAGCTTGAGTACCTTGGGTGGGAGAAACCTCCCCAATTCTCCTTCCCCTCTCTGTTATAGCAGTTACCGGCTCTTATTTCTCTTCACTCTCTGGAAATGTTGAGACACACGGTTCTGTTTCGTATTTTCAGTTCCTAGTATTGAATCGGAACACTTGATGAACACTGCTGAAAGCTTTGGTTAAAAGAATAAATTGACTCGTTTCGACACTGAGCCGTCTCGTGTATTAATATTGATTTTCCCTCTCCGACTTCTCCAGTTTGAAAACGAGATCATCCTCAAGCTGGACCACGAGGTGGAAGGGGGCCGTGGGGACGAGCAGTACATGCAGCTGCTGGAGTCCATGTAAGTTCAGTGCCCCGCGCGCGCGGGGAAGGGCGGGCAGCAGGCCGGGGCTCTGGGGGACACTGTCCTTTCTGAACAGCTGCTGGGAGGGTCATGGGCACTTGGAGAAAATCCACTTGGGGAAGAAGCCTCGCCTGCTCTCTGATCCCTGGAGTGGCTGTTCTTTTGCTATTGAGGGGCTGGACCAAATGAAAAGAAATGTTGCTGAGTTGGGGAAGGGGATCTGATCCTTGGAATGGTCAGCTTCTGCCTGTCTCAGCCAGGAATAGCTCTTGCCCTTGGCTCCTTTCTCTTTGTTAACTCGGAGAGAAAAGCTTAGTCCCTTTGACTCCCTGGGGGATGGAGGGAAAGGGGTGCTAGTGCTCAGAGAAGCATCTGTTCCCAGGAAGTTGCACCAAGACAGTGTGGGCCTGGACACACCTCTTGTCTCTTGTCAGCATCCAGCCTTGGGCCCTGTGGGCAGTCCTGGTGGGCGCTGTGGACTCCTTTGCTTGGGGTGGGGGGAGAGGCCTTCATTCGGATTGGTTAGGGTCCACCTGAACCATGCAGTTCCGTGGCTCCTTGCACATGGAATCCCTGTCCTGTCCCTGTGAGCACCCCTCTCCATCTGTCACTTCCCTGAGTCAGCAGACGCTCACCCTCGGCCCCGGTCTCCAGGCTGATCATCCTGGGGAAAAGGTGACATTTTGTCCAAGTCACTGTTTTTCTTAAAGTTCTAAGAAAGGAAAATCTAAATATTGAACTGAAGAGGAGCCGTGGACAGGTGTGCCGGCAGTGTCCGGTGTGGTCAGAGGAGGGTTCTCTGTGGCAGTCCTCGGATGGCCAGCGGGGCTGCCAGACCCTTCCCGAGCACTTCATCAGAGAGTCCTTAGAGCTCGAGGAAATGAAAGACAGCTCATTATTTCTCTCCAGAGATAGAGATGTGAATGATTTTTACAAAATCAAATAAGCCCAACCTGTGAAGGCCAGGCACCATGTTTAAAATTTCTAAGCCTCACTCTCCTTATCTGCAAATTGGGGGTTAAAAAAAAAAAGTTTCCGAGCTCTGAGTTTCATTTAAAAAAAAATAAGTCATGTCATATGCTGGGCATGGTGGTGTGGTTTCCAGAAGCCAGCCTGGAGCCCAGGAATATTGGGTGCTGTGGGCTATGCCGGGCCTGGGACTGTCAGCGCTCGGCTGATCCTCAAGGTCACAGCTCACTTCCGGGGGATGGAACCCCCGTCTTTCCATTCCCTCACCTGCGTGATGAACTGTTTTGTTTACTTAACAGAATTGCTCTGATGATTTCTGAAGAAGAATGATGCGTACAGCATCTGCTGCAAAATAAATAATTAAGAAAAATGTAGTCCTTAATCAAAACTTTAATCAATCTTGCCCTAGCGGCCTGAGGGCCACCTGAAGGTGGGCCTGTTGTATTTTGTATTTCTTTCTTTCTTTTTTTTTTTACTTTTCTGTATTTTTTTCCCTAGCCCTGCCTCCCCAAATGCCTAATGCCATGCCTAGCAATGAATAGATGGTTAAGGATTTTTCATTTTTGTTTTGAAAACTTTAAATATTATTAATATGACAACGAATGTAAATTACTCTAATCATTTTTGCATATTTAAATAGAAAAAAATGGAACATTATTCTCCCCTGCCCCCCACCCCTTAGAACTCTCATTCATTGTAGTCACCATTAGGGCTTAGTGTTTATCCTTCCTGACCTTATAGAACATGTTTGCCACCACAGAAGCAGGAGGCAGACTGGCCCCTCCACTCCTAAATTGGTGATGGAGAGCAGAAATGCTGGGGCCAGACTCTTGGGACTGGGTGATCTTATACGTGTTGCTAGACCTCTCTGGGCTGTGGTTTCCGCATCTGCAAACCTCCCATCTCATTAAGCTGTGATGGGAGATTAAACACGTTCAGATTTTTAAGCTGTTTGATACCTGAAACCTGGTAAGCTGTGTTGAGTTGGTTTAACGAAGAACAAATACTGTTTGTAAGGTCTCATTTTGTCATTGAACTATCTATTTTGTAGAGCTTTTCATGTCAAAGTGTATTGATCTCTCTTGCTTTTTATGGTGTTATTGAATTACATTTGTGACTATACTTGAATACCATTTTATTATAATTTATGAACATGTAAGATTATCCCAACTATTTCACAGTTTGATACTGTTTGAAAGTCTTTTTTTCAAACCGTCTATTTTGTTTAAATATATCCTTGCATACTTCCGGGAGTTTTTCCATATAAGAGATTCCCTGAAGTTGAACTACTGGGTGGTAGAATATATGAATTTATAATTTTGAAATATCGTGTGAAAATAGTCCAAAAAAGAAAAAAAACTGTGCTGCTTCACTCCCTGTGTGAATACCTAAATATATATATATATATATATATATATATATATATATATTTTAACTTCCAGTAGTAGTGAAAAAATTTCAATTCTGTGATACTGTAAGGACAAGCAAGTATATGAAGAAGTGAAATGAGTTGATGAATCCGGAGGCCCTGGATTTATCTGGAATAACAGTTGTTTTGTTAAGTAGCACTGTAGCACTGTCGCAATGTCCTTCCATTGTTATCTATTTGCTCGAGCGGGCCCAATAAAGTCTCCATTGTGAGACTTGTTGTGACTGTGTTCGGCATATCGAATACGTCACGGGGAGCTTGCCAGGCTCTGCTGTGCGGGCGAGATACTCTCAGTAGCTTGCCGGGCTCTCCGAGAGGGGTGGAGGAATCGAACCCAGGTCAGCCACGTACAAGGCAAACACCCTCGCTTAAATGGGCCGGGAATGGGAATATTTTCAACCCCACCCCACATCCTGCCCCCACTTCCAGCACGGTCTTCCTCCCATGCCTCTGCACTCATCATCAGTCCCCCTCTCCCCCCGCCTGTCCCCACAGCCTGATGGAGTGTGCCGCTAAGCACCCAACCATTTCCAAGTCCGTGGAGAACTTTGTCAGCCTGGTCAAAGGCCTTCTGGAGAAGCTGCTGGATTATCGGGGTGTGATGACAGATGAGAGCAAGGACAACCGCATGAGCTGCACCGTGAACCTGCTGGTCTGTGGGGCTGGTTGTTGGGGAACAGCTTTTCCCCGGTGTGCCTGGATACATTGCACACTGGACCCAGGCAGACATGGGGCAGAGGGTGACGGGCACACGGAGAAGCACCCTTCGGGAGCAGCTGATGGCTGTTCACCTTATTGCCAAATACACACATTTTGTAGAGGGTCTCGGCTTACAAGAAAGTCCAATCCCACGAAGTTCAGCACCACTGGCCTACCACCTTCCCTCCTCTGCTTTGCCCCAGTCCAATCCCAATCAAGGCTAGATGCTGCAGTTAGGATGACTTGCTAAGCGTACATGACAGTTCCTGTGTCTTGGGCTCATGTGACCAGGAGGTCGAGTGAGGCTCAAGGCTAAACACCCGGTGCTGGCTGGCACCCTGTTCTTGCCAACTTTGCCCAGATATTCCCTCTTCCGAGGCTTCGCTTCTGGGCCGCTTTGCAGGGTCAGGTCTTATCTGCACCAGGGTCTGTCGCCCTGCTCCACAGCTGGTCATCGCTGTCCCCCACAGAGTCAGAGGGAGGACCTGGGGGCAGCCAAGGGCTCAGTCTAAGGGAGCAGGTGAAGGGAGACCAGACATGAAGTGGGTCCCTGTACAGCCAAAGACCAGGCCAAGCTTCTGAGCCTGAGTTTCCTTATGTCACAAACGGAAAGGGACATTCCCTTGGGCATCACAAAGAAGGAAGGTGGTAGGGCAGAGGGGCTTGAGAGGCAGCCCCTATGAGTTCTCATCCTCTCTCTGACAGCAGAGCAGGCTCAGAAGTTCTGTGCAGCTCGAGTTTGCTTGCCTGTTGCAGGGGAAATGAAGAGCGCCTGTTTCGTTAGGTTGAGCAACCCCGGCCCATGGCCAAGTGGGAATCCCACCCCCTGCCCTTACGCCATCCCACACATGAGCTCCCACACTGGCTCCACACAGCTGCCTCCATCTGACCTCAGGACGCTCAGAGGCCAGACAGCAGCAGGACCTCAGCCCCCTGTCAGCCCACCCTAAAATGCTCTGAGGAAATGGCCTGGGCCCTCAGGCCTGAGATATCCGACTTATGAATGCCCACCTGCGCCATTTCCAGCACTCCAAATTACAAATCCTGGCTCCACGCCCCTCCTGTATGGTCTCTATTTATTCTGAGTAGATTCTCTTTTTTTAATGACCTAGATATTACCATCAAATTTTTTCCCCTTTTTGGGGGTTCACACCCAGCAGTGCTCAGGAGATATTCCTGACTCTGCACTTAGGAATTACTCCTGGCAGTGCTTGGGGGACCATATGGGATGCCAGGGATTGAACCCAGGTAGGCCACATGCAAGGCAAGCGCCCTACCCGCTGTACTATCGCTCCAGGCCTGATATTACCATCGATTTTCAGAATGCAAAGGAGAATCTCTCAGCCAAAGGGACCCATTGCCGATCGCTTCAGCAGGCCCAGTTCAAACCAAGAGCGCAAGGAGGGCTTTTCCCCGGAGCTTCACAGTTGGTGGAGAGGTCGAAGCTGCTTGAGGAAATTGGCCTTCCACACACACACTGAGCAGGAAGGAGCCTCAGGACAGGCAGTTCCATAGTGGAGGCCCTGCTAGCTCCATGCCACACCAGCCTGTAGGAAGAGGGTCCATGAGAGCTGAGATCTGGGCTGGCCCCACAGCTTGTGAATGCTCTGACCCCATCCCCTCACTGGGCACGCCCCCTCTCCCTTCCTCCAGGCATTGGGCATCCTTGGGTGCACCAGTTGCCAAACTAAGTTTCTTCTCAAAGTCTGACTCACGGGTGGGACTCTGATCTGGCTCCAAACTGGTAAGGCACTGGCTTTGGCGCGGCTCAGTGCCCTGCAGTGCCTGCTTTCCGGGCCCGCCAGCACCGCCAGGAGTAGCCCCTAAGCACCAGCCAGTCTGAAAACAGACAAACGGACAAGATACACAGGCTTAGATTCCTGGTGGTGGAGCCTGGCCTCAGCGCTCCTGTGAATGGCCCTCAGCCCCGGGACAGGGTACGGGCTTGTCACATGTCACCGAGCTTAAAGGGGTTTGGGCTGTGGACTCTCGTCGTAACTCCTGATCCTTCTGCGACCCCTAATGGTACTCCGCTAGGAGGAGGAGTTGGGGTCTGTTCTGTCACACTAACATCACCTGATGGCTGCCGTTATTCTGATTCCAACTCCGAGTCGGGAACTCCAGAGGTTCCAGCTCCAGATTCCAGCTCCAGAGGCTTCTAAACAAAGCAAGCCTGGGGAAACGCTGCCTTTCCCCTCGACTTGGTCAGAACAGCTGTTCCCATGCTAGCAGCCCCCTCCCTGCCCCCTCCCTCCCCCAGCACCCAATGGCTGAGTTACCGCCCGTCTCCCTTTATAGCCAAAGGTGCACGCAAGTGGTGTCCAAGGTAGAATCTCCTGAGGGTTTTTGAAAGTAAACGTTCGGGTCTTGCACCACACACACACACACACACACACACACACACACACACACACACACCTAGATAGCAAATAGCAATCTGCCTCTCACTCCCGCCCCTCAGTTCTCCACCCCTGCACACGGCACAGAAAAGCTCTCATCACTGGGTTGTTGTTGTTTTTTTTTTCTCCCCACCTAGAACTTCTACAAAGACAACAATCGAGAAGAGATGTACATCAGGTAAGACTCTGGTGTCATAATCCCAAGACCCGCTGTGTGACTCTCCTGTCCAGTAGCCGTCAACAGCTCCCCACTCCCTGCCGGGGGAGCAGCTAAACTTATCTTCTTGATTCTCGGGTTCACTGTGTTCAGAGTTCTGTCAACCGCCCTCCACCCTGCCTCCCCTCCCCAGGCCCCAGGGCGCCCCCTCACCCCCGCCCCCAAGCTGTGCTGGTTTTCCACAGCCTCACACAGGCCTCTGCGTAACCAGCCTGTGGATGAGCTGTGACTGGCCGGCAGCTCCTCAGACTTCCTTCTGGTTTATGAGGCATGTCCCGAGACTCCTGGCCAAGCCTGTTTCAAAGGGAAAACAACCCGGGCAAGCTGGAGACCGCTTCCTTGTAGGCGTTTTTAAGGGTTATTCAGCCTATCAGGATGGAGTTTTGGGGACATTGGCCTAGAGCAAAGAACTCCCTTGCCAGTTTTCCTCAGAATCTCATTTTTTTTTCCTCCAAAGTCTTTTATTACTGTTATTTTTACTTGTTTCAAAAATAAAGCATCCTTATTACCAAACCAAAAAAAAAAAATACCCATAATAAACAGATAGGGAACATTTTTAACTGAAATAAACTCTCATCATTCGTACATATTTCTAGGTCCTTTGATATTAATATATAGATTGAGTTTTTTGCAACACTCAGGTCATATTTATGTAATTTATTCTTTGCTTGACACGAATTCCATGTCAACTGATGTATTTCAATATCATTTTCAATGAAACTGTGAAATTCTTTCCCCAGTAGGTAATATAATTTATAGAGCCATTCTTTTATTATTGAACATTTAGTTGTTGTTTCTAACATGTTTCTAGCATAAATAACGCAGCAGTCCAATTCTTGGATATATGTATATATATTTTCGTGCATATCTGTATGAAGCAAAAGCTGCAAAGTGACGGGGTAATGAGCAGGGTGTTTTCTTTTTTTTTTTTTTTTTGCTTTTTGGGTCACACCCGACCCGATGATGCACAGGGGTTACACCTGAGTCTGCACTCAGGAATTACTCCTGGAGGTGCTCAGGGGACCATATGGGATGCTGGGAATCAAACCCTAGTTGGCCGTGTGCAAGGCAAATGTCCTACCCACTGTGCTATTGCTCCAGCCCCAACCAATACGGGACTTTCAATCCATCCTTTGTATTTTTTTTTTGTTTGGGGACCACACCCAGCGGTGCTCAGGCCTTACTCCTGCCTCTGCACTCAGGGGTCACCCCTGACAGGCTCAGGAGACCCTACAGGGTGCTAGGAATTGAACCCGGTTCAGCCTCGTATAAGGTATGCGCCCTCTGCGCTATTCCATCCCTCCAGCCCTCCACTTTTGAGGCATTGTGTCCAAGCCTGAACTCATTCTGCTGTTATTGCCACGTTTTGGGGCACTTAGTTTAGTATTATTCCAGAAATACAAGCTATCATTTGGATAGAAAGATAATTCCCTAGAGTTGCCTAGCTGGAGTAGTATTCATAATGTCTAATTTCAACATATGGATGCAGTAGCACGAAGTTTTGGGGTCTGGAGGGCCCCGGCTTTTGGCCTTGTTCTCTGTTTTTCCTTCTGTTCTAAGGGTTGGATGAGGTGCTCTAGGTGAAAATCCTGGCACCTGGCTCCCTCCCTCCGCCTCTTTCCGACTTTGGAAACACAGATGGCCAGGCCCACATTTCCCCAAGTTTCAGAGATCTGAGAAAGATAGTAATCTAGGAAAATCACATCATAAATAGGGCATGATCTGAAATGTAAAAATACTTGCAATTGGCTGCCAAATAATTTGTTTGCCTTGAGATTCTTACATTAAAATTTTTAATTTCCATCTTCCCTGGGACTGGAGAGATAGAGCAGTGTGGATGGGGTGCTGGCCCTGGCACACTGCCTTCTCCTCTTACCAAGCAGATGTACTTCTTTCCACCCAGAAGGCCCAGGAGAGAGAGCAGGTGGTGCCCTCTCTGGGCCGTTCCAGAACCCAGCATCCTGGGAAGCATGAGAGCTCGGGCTCCCAAGGAGACGAGCCTGAGGCCACACCTCTGCTTTTCCAGTTACTGACACCTGACATCCTTCAAGATATTTCTTTCCCTTTCTCTTTCTTGTCACTGTGCTTGGCCAGGTTCATCCTTGCTGAGTCCAGGCGGGGATAGTTCCCAGGTTATAGTTTTCTTCCTCTGAAACATGGGAGTCCTCAGCATGCCCGTCGTCTCCCTGAGTGTCACGAGGATTCGGCACTCTAAGGCAGTCACACTATGCACCCAGACACGAGATGCTGTCACTGTCACTCATAGCCTAGGGGCTTTTCTTGTGACCCGAGAGGTATCTACATGAGTCCTGGTCCTACTCCCCACCTCCTTGTCTCCTGGTAACCATGGCCGTGTCCCCAACAGGTACCTGTACAAACTCCGCGATCTCCACCTGGACTGTGAAAATTACACCGAAGCTGCCTACACGCTCCTGCTCCACACCTCGCTCCTAAAGGTGCAGCTCCCCTCCCCACCCCCATCTGAGACCCTGCCCCCACCCCAAGCCCAGAGGGCTAGACAGCAAGTGGAAGAGTTCAGCAGAAGAGAAGAAAGAATTAGCCAAATGCATTTTCTTTTGAGTGTGTGTGTGTGTGTGTGTGTGTGTGTGTGTGTGTGTGTGTCTAAATCTCGGTCTGGCAGGTTCTTCATTACAGGGCCTGATCACATAAGATTTTCCGCGTCCTTCACATTTCTCAGCCACAGTAATCCCAGGATATGTCTCGGGGTTTTATATAACATCCAAGCCATTTGACATGACATCCAAACATCAGCTTAAGACTGCTAGCTTGCCCAGAGAGCTCATTTTGTCTCTCCTGGAAATGTTTCTGCGGCTTCACAGAATCAGAAGTATTTTCTTTGGTTTCTGAAGAGCTGGGCCCATGTCTCGATGGGCTCCAGATAAAATTGCTACAAACTGCATGAACGAACTGAAGGGGGTGTGTTGGCCCTTCCTGTTGGGAAGGACGGCCAGCACCTTCCCCGCCTGAGTTCCAGCACCCAGGGGCTGGGCTGTCGCAGGGCTGGGGACATGCGTGCCTGGCTCTCCTCACCGTGTGCCCGTGGTGACCCGTGTCCTCTCCGTGCAGTGGTCAGATGAGCAGTGCGCATCCCAGGTCATGCAGACGGGCCAGCAGCACCCCCAGACCCACCGCCAGCTGAAGGAGACGCTCTACGAGACCATCATTGGCTACTTCGACAAAGGAAAGGTAACTGGACCCTGTGCTTCCTGTCTCTGGGACCCCGGCTCCCGGGAAGGCCGGTCCTTTCCAGTCTGTGGGGACCCTCACTCCCGGGAAGGTCGGTTCCTTCCTGTCTGTGGAGACCTGGCTCCCGGGGTCAGTTGTCTTATCCCCCACACCCCATCTTTCTGCAGGTGTGGTCAGCAGTCCTCGGGCTGACCACTCTTCTCTCCATCTTCGTCCCCAGTGTCAGCATGCTGGGCCATTGAACAGGCCCAGGAGATATCCCTGGCTTCCTCCTTGTCCCTGGTAGATCACTGTTCCCGCAGGAACTCAAAGGACTGGCAGCAGAGAGCAAACCGTACCTTTCTCGGTCTTTCCTTCTCAGTGACCCCCACTTCCGCTCAGCAAGCTCCATGCATGGCCCAGGAGCCCCCGCAGGCCCTGCTCCCCTCTCACCCTGCCAGGCTGCCCCTCGCTCACAGCTCTGTGCCACCACTCTCTGCTGCCCCAGAGCCCGGGCTCTCGTCTTCCGGCTTACCCTGTCTGCCCTTCACAGTGTCTGATGCCGGGATTGGCTCGGATGGCCCCTCCTCCGACCACTGGTCACCCTTTGACATCACTTGATCACTTTGTGTCCACTTGCTTGTCACCTGCCCACATTAGCCTACCGTGAGCACCGAGATTGGTCTTGTCCACTGATGAATGCCCCAGTGGCCAGCATCGATCCCCGAGTGCAGGATTCCCCCTCCCCAAATGCACATGGCCCAGATGAATGGAGTGGACATAGGAATGACACTGGGCACCCTCCTGACCCCAGCTAGCAAGGGTGAGGTGTTTGGCTGGGTGGGGGCAGAGGGATGCCACACTCTGTGTTCCCCAGCCTGTTGCCTCCTGTGAACTTTCCAGTATCACCAGCCCAGGTGATAGCGGGTATTCCGTGAGTGGGGCTGAGGAGGTGCAGCTGGAGCGCTGCACATGGCCGGACCCCAGGAAACCGTGTGAAATGTGCACTCCCGTCCTCAATACCCTCCTCCGCCTTCCTGGGTCCGGCTGAGAACCCCCCTTTTTTCTTTGAGTCCTCCCGTTACTGAGAGCCTTGCCTCTCATCTGAATTGCAAGGCCTCGGATGACTTCGTAGGGCATCACTTACTAATGAATTTTGTTTGGTCCAAGTCTCCCCACCTTCCCTGGAAAGATAAAATGAAGTAATGTCTGCAAAGAGCTTATAAATCCCCAGGAGCCGAGCGGTCGGAGAACACTGTTCTCGTAATTCATAATTACAAGCCTCTCGAGGGCAGCCCGCCTGCCTGCCCGGGACCCTCCGCCCTGCTGGCTTCCAGGCGGATCTTGCTGTTCTCTCCATTGGCTGAAAGCCGGCGGAAGGCCCACCACGCAGAGCAGAGAGGGAAATGGGCTCCTCCCGGAGCTCAGGGTGTCCGCTGAGCAGTGGGAAGGTCGGGATCTGACTGCCCGCTCCCCGTCAATGTTGTGTGGTGATTGAGGAATGCAGGGGTGGGGTCGGGGTCTGCCAGGATCTTGTGGAACAGAGAGGAGAGCATGGATGAGTACGATTCACTCTCAAAGCCACTGCTGTGGAAGCTTCTGGAATGAAGTCCAGCTGCATCGCACCCCTTCCTGCTTGCTTTCCCCACACCTGGGAGCTCGTCGCTCTGGATACACACCCTGGATTTGACTCTGTGCCATCACCCCTGCGTCCCTCAGGCCCAACTATTCTGTCCTTTCATGTGTATTCTTTGATTTGACGGGAGGCGTGGGGTCACCCCCGGCTGTGCCCAGGGCTTCTGGCTCTCCTGGACCATAGCGGGTGCAGGGGCTCCAACCCAGTCAGCCTGTCCAAGGCGAGTGCCCTCTCTGCTGTGCTGTCGCTCTGGCCCTGTCCATACACAGCCCCATTTTATGAGCAGAGACAGGTCTTGTACCCGTTTATATGTGTTCCATCACTGCACCATCCCTGGCCTCCGTGCTCTGTGATGAGCACATGTGTCTCAGAGAAACCAGTGAGTTTCAGGTGCGTGGGGCTGAAAAAGCTCTAGAACGAAAAAGATCCCAGGCATCGCCCCTCCCCAGCCCCCTCCCCGCCCACCCTCCACACCTCTGCCTGGTCCCGATGCACAGGGAGAGCCTTTCTAGCTATTACAGTGGGACATCCGCCAAGACCTTCACTTGTGCCAAACAGTTCCGTGATCCAACCCCGGGATCTTACCACCGGCTTCTTGTTCAGCCAGAAGAGAAACCCCCAGGCCCAAGGACTTGGTTCCTCCTGGCACAGCAAGTGTGTTTAAGACACTCGCCAAGAGGTCCATGGGCTTCCAGCCCCTCCCCAACACACACACACACACACACACACACACACACACACACACACACTCAGCACTTGCACTTCTCGTGTGTTTTTCCGCTCGACTGCAGAGAGCACTTTACTCCGAAGCGCACACTGCCTCCTGGCAGCTCTCCTCCCGCCTCCCCACCAGCCCCCAGCTTCTCCATTTAGGGGCACCTCCCACTTTGAATAAACCAAACGTGAACTAGTCACGGCTGTCCCCGAGTCCGCCCTGCCTCTGGAGGGCTCCCCAGCCGCCATGGGCTGCGCGGCAGCGCCTCTTGGCTTCGGCCATAGACGGAGCAGAAGGAAGGGGTCTCCAGACTGTTCGCTGAGCTGGGAAAGGATGACTCGAACAAATCCTCATCGCTGTTTTGTTTTCCATATCCTCCTCCACCTCTCTCCTGCCCTTTGCCTGCTCCCGCCCACGGAACCCCTTTATGGTATCATCTTCCACTTCTGCCCAAATTATACAAGGTTCGGTTTCACTTGTACCGGTTCAGTAGCAAACCAAGCACTAGGCCACAGGTGACACCAGGCCCGGCCTTGCTTTCTGCTGGGCACCCACTTTCCTGGGGAGTGCTCCCCTGGGGTCTGGTGCTCCTAGACAGGGCGCTGTGTGCATCTCGAGAACTTGGGGACTTGGGGGTCCACGTGTAGCCTGGTTGGTGGCTGCTCCCAGGCTCACCCTGGAACGCATCTGTCAGGCAGAGACAGACCCAATGCTCCCGGGAGAGTTCCCAGGGCGGGCTCAGGGCTGCTCCAGGGGGTCACAGGGTTCTGCCAGCCTGGAGGTGTCCCTAACTCTGTCCCATCGGCCGTCCTGTAGATGTGGGAGGAAGCCATCAGTCTGTGCAAGGAGCTGGCGGGGCAGTACGAGTTGGAGACCTTTGACTACGAGCTGCTCAGCCAGAACCTGGTAAGGCCTCTGCAAGCCTGGGCACCCCGGAGGTGGGGACGGGGTGGGGACAGCTGCGTCCGGGTGGAGAGGGAGAGGGAACAGAAGCAGGAGAGAAGGCTGTGTGGTCGGGAGTGTCTCCTGAGGGAAGAGTCCTGGGACCACTCCCGGCCACCTGCGCCGAGTCCCTTCTGCTCCATCCCACCCCCAACTCTGAGCTGCATCTGCAGTAAAAGCCCCACAAATCACTACGCCAATTAAATGAAAACTCAACTTTCAGCTCTCTCTGATTAACGGATAAGCCACATTAAGATGCTCCCCATCTGGCTGTTCCCCATTAGCGGCTCCGTGGTCACGATTTGGTGGGGGAAGTGGCAGGTGGGGGCACGCCAGCCTCGCCCGCTCATGTGGTAGCCGGAGGCTCCGGCTGGGGACGGTGCAGAGCGTTGCAGAGAGCGCCCACCTTCTCCCGGGCCCCTCACCCACACGCGGCCCGTCTCCAGAGGTCAGCACAGCTGTTTCCAGGAAACAAACTGTTAGTGGGGGAAGCCTTTTGTGGAGGAGACTCTGCTAAGATATGACACAGGCAAACATATGGCCACCTACACAGATGCCCACATTCCCGGCCACAAATGTGGAGGCACACATGCCTTCTCAGTGTGTACACTCAGGCTCCCACACATGGACTTGTTCCCAGTGAACACAGCCCACATGCAGGAACTCCCAGCACAAACGAGTGCATGCTGATTTGTATGCACACATGCACAAACACCTGGCATGCACATGCACACTTGTACACATATCCACAGTCCCAATTTGCACACAGATGACATACTTGGTATAAACATGCACAGACATGCACATGCCCGGTATACACATGCACATATCCACATGTATACACACACTTGGTATGCACGTGCACACATGTACACATTCCCAGTTATGCACGTGCAGACATATATACATACTTGGGATAAACATGCACACATATGCACGTTCCCAAACTCACGTGTACTTGAACACAGACACACTTTCCTAGTACATAGTCATGCATGCATACTTGTACACACATTGAGCACACATACACACCTTTATGCACATACACCAAGCAGACACACATGCTCACTCACACCCAGTGCACACATTATATGCCCATACTCTATACCCATGTGCACAGACCCATTCACATCCATGTGTGCACCCCTGTTCCCGTCCACATCCATGGTACATTTCCTTACACACACACACGCACACTCATATGTCATGCACATTCAGGCATGCCCCTTTGTGAACATGAAGCCAAGACGCTGGCAGTGCATACCCCAGCACATAGCACAGCTTGCAGGGGGCTTGTCGGGAGGGCCACACCTTGACCTCACTCACTGGCACGCGGTGGAGATGTCTCTGTGTGGGAGAGGCTGGCTTTCCCATGCATCACACAGCAGAATGGGTGTCTGATGAGAGGAGAGTAAAAACGGTTTTCAGAGATGTTAAAATGTAAGCAACTGACACATCTCTTAGCGAGCTGCCGAAGTGCATTAGGTGGGATCCACAGGAAGAAGACAGCTACATCCAGGTACATGGTCCATCCCAGACGCCCACGGGGGTATTGGGGAGTGGAATGGTCCTGATGGGGACCCTGCCCAGTGAGCTGAGCTCAGATCCAAGCTTCCCAGCTGTGCCATGAGCTGCGGCTGCTTTATTTGCAGAGCAGAGGTACAGGCCAGGGGGTGTTAGGAGCTGATGCCGCCCAGCTAGCCCCTGAAGGGAGAGCAGCTCAGAAGGCGCTGGGACACAGACGTGGCTGTCGCGGTTATGGGTGTGTCCACTGGTAGGCACACTGGCTCCAGACGGTGGCCTCGCCGTGCCGGAGGTGCCTCTGAGTCGAGCAGCCTTTGTACGAGCTCTGAGTTTCCCCTTTCAGATCCAGCAGGCAAAATTCTATGAGAAAATCATGAGGATCCTCCGGCCCAAGCCAGACTACTTTGCTGTCGGATACTACGGCCAAGGATTCCCCTCCTTTCTGCGGGTGAGTCGGCCAGGGACGCAGCCAGGGCTGAGGGCCCTGGCCTCTCTCTCACGCTGGGGGCAGTTTTGTGCATGGAAGGACTTGATTTTGCAGCCGCATCTGGCTGGACCCACTAAGCGGCCAGCATAAGCCGTCCCTGCTGGTGACAACTAACATCTCCATACGTTGTTAGGGTTCCTAAGGAGGCATAGTCACCCCCAGTGAAAAAACTCCTAGAAGAGGCAATATCCTGCAGGAGCCAAGTCTGTTTCCATGGAGATGTGGTCAGGAGCCAGATGTTGGAGGACTGAATGCTGGTCCTGTCCAGGCCCAGGCCCTACTCACAGGGCTCTTAAAAGACAGAGGAAGCCCGGGGCTAAGGGCACAAGCCTTGCACGCACCTCCCCCCAATTCAGTCTCTGGCACTCGTGCCTCCCGCCCCCCACCCCTTTCCCTCAGTTCTTCCCCCGCCCCACAGGGCCTGAGCAGCACCTTGTCCTCAGACTCACACATCCAACTGAGGCTGACCCGGTCAGCCAAGAACCCCTGCTAGTGGCCCTCAGCACTGCTTGGGAGGCATTCATTAGTAAGTGAAGTTGATCAGAGCAGGCGGGAAGCGTTTGGGTCAGAGGAGGGGGCGGAGAACTTAGGAATCACTCCAGAGGACAGGGGCTTGCAGGGGACTCTCAGCACCGTGCCCAGCCCTCCCCCTAAACCAGTCTTTCCAAAGAACCGGTGTGCCCCGCCCAAAGCTCCCGCCTTCCCTGCTAGGGAAACAATGAAGACACAGGTCTGCTCCTGGCTGGGAGGACCTGCGCCCTGGAACCTCTCATGGGTGTCATTTCTCCTCAGAACAAAGTGTTCATCTACCGGGGGAAGGAGTATGAGCGACGGGAAGATTTCCAGGTGAAGCTGATGAGCCAGTTTCCCAACGCCGAGAAGATGAACACGACCTCCGCTCCCGGGGATGACGTGAAGAACGCCCCGGGCCAGTGTATCCTTGGGGGAGGCCCGAACCCAGGGCCAAACCCGGTCACCCCGCAGTGCCCTTCTCAGCACGCAGAGCTCCTGCCAGAAGCTCTGTCCGGGTGCCAATTTTAAGCATCCAAGGCGGGATTCAAAGATGCCCCCCGGGAGATGCTAGGTGCTGCCTTCACTGAGTGATGCGCTCACCCGCTCGTTTGTTTAAGCAGCGCAAACTGCCAAGCCCCGATTCCCTGCCAGGCCCGACAGGAGATTATACGGAGCACTGGAAATTGTAGCCACGAGGCGGTCCTGCCTCCAGGGCACCTATAATCTTGCTAATCAGGCACGTGTGGTTCAGCTCATAGGACCCCTTGTTCTAGTCATTAAAATGCTGTCTGTGCCCGAGGAAGCCATAGCAGCTGGGAGCAGGAAGGTTCTCCTGAGGAAGCAGGTGAGCTGCCACAGGTTAGCAGCGGCTGGGGGTGTCCCTGAAGGAGGGACAAGAGGAACATCACGGACACAGGCCCTGATCCGGAAGGAGGCCGTCAGGTTCCAAGAACGGAAATGGCACCACTTTGCGCTTGTAAGGAAATCAGCCTGCCTGGCTGCCCGTCCAGGGTCATTGCCCCCAGCCCTCCTGTCCCTTTCTCCACACCCCTCCCGCCAGGCTGACCTCCTTCCCATCCCTCTTCCCCCGCACCAGGTTGGCCGGTTCTGTTCCTCGGCTCTTTTCCTTCGCACCCCTTCTCTGAGTCTCGGGAAGAGGGTGTCCCCAGAGGGTGTCCCCAGACACCTGATCTGAAATGGCCTCTCTTGCGCTTTTAACACGCCCAGCGAGTCCATTTTGGCCGGCCTGTAGCTCAGGCTTGCTCACGGCGGCCGTGTCCCCGTTGGTGCCCACACAGATGCTCTCAAGCACCAGGAAGTATTTTGTAGATCATAGAAAGGCCGAGACAGCGCGGGAGACGGGAAGAGAAGGAAAGGCTGCTGGGTCTGTGGAGAAGGGGCAGCAGAGGCCGGCAGGCAGCAGGGGTGACTCTGGGGAAGGGCCAGGCGCGGGGCCCGGAGTGTGAGCCGAGGCCGGCAGCATGTTCAAGGGGAGGCTGTGGACACGTCACTGAGCCAGGCGCCTTGACCTGGCCCGGCCCCGGCTCCGCACCCTTTAGCGCAAATTAAGTTACAGCCTTTAAAATGGGCTTGACAGGTTGCGAGGCTGGTCGGCTAAGTCTGCCGAACCTTAATCCAAATATTTTTCCCCCGGGTGATAAATATTCATCCGTAACCTTTTCATTATGCCCGCCTGCCCTTCATGCCTGCTCGGCCATGGTTATTTGCAGGAGGAAATACAGCTGATGGAGGGGCGGGCGGGTTACAAATGTGCGTTTGGTTACCGGCGAGACACGGATTAGGGCGAGGGTGCTGGTGAGTGGGCCTGCACGTGTCCAACAGCCCCACGGCCTGGCTCCTGGGCGGAGGACTGGCCACCCAGTGGCTGCTCGTGCAGCCCCGCCCCGCCCCGATGCCTTGTCGGGGAGCTCCAGGCCACGCCAGGGCAGGTTCAGTGTCATTTCCAGGATCAGTAGGTGTGACCTGAAAGGTCTCTGACTGGGGGTTGGCAAAGGGGCCTGAGAGGCCCGGCTAGGGACAGATGTTTCCCGGGGGGGGCTGGCAGCCCCAGTCACAGGCCCGGGCTCTGCTGTGGTCACGGGGTGGCCGCCCTGGGCCAGACACAGCTCAGAGGCATGCTGTGTGCCCACATTCGACTCCCCTGGAAGCATGAACTCCAGAGTTTGAGTCATGAAACACTCAGTTTCTTTGTTTGTTTGTTTGTTTGTTTGAAAAAATAGAGTCCTGATGGCTGGAGTGATAATACTGTGGGTAGGGTATTTGCCTTGCATGTGGCCGATGCAAGTTCGATTCCCAGCATCCCAGCATAGGGTCCCCCAAGCACCACCAGGAATAATTCCTGAGCGCAGAGCCAGGTGTAACCACTGAGCATCGCTGGGTGTGACCCAAAAAGCAAAATATAAAAATTGAATCCTGTCTCAGCCATGGACCCTGCAGGATCAGGGGGAGAGTCAGATTTGAGTCGTGGACCTAGTTTGCTGCCTCCTGCCCCAGACTTAACCCAGAGCCGTTTCTCTCCCAGAGGAAGTCGTTGGCTTTATGGCTGAGAAGGAAAAGGTTTTCCAGGATATGGCAAAATCCTTCCAGAGAGGTTTATTCATCTTTACGAGCAGCCCCGGTTGACCTGTAGATACTTCCCCGAGGAGGAACAGTGAGTGGGCAGCGAGTGTACGGTGGGGCACTGGCCACTTCCTGCCTGGCAGTCCCACCCCTGCGGCGAGGGCAGGCACCGTCCAGGCATGAGGCAGGGAGAGCCGGGGCAGGGAGAGAGGAGCGTTGCTGGGGTTTGTTGCCTGAGCTCCGCCTGGAAGCTCGTCTGGGAGGACCTGAGTTCCTCACGGGCTTAGAGTCGGGCCCAGGAAAAGAGTTGGGGTGGGGGTGGGGGGGCTTGGTGGTTGATGTGCTGAGCAGAGGGGTGGGGCCTAAAGAGAGGTGGAGGGGAAGCAAGGTCAGAGTGGGGACCCCACTGTCAGCTCCCCGGGGCTGCAGGAGGCCCACCACAGGCATCTCTGACAGACTGGAGCCGGGACAGAGCCCTCTGGCCCTCTGCTCAGCCAACTGCTCCCAGGGCCTCTGGGGCGTGTGTGTGAGTGTATGTGTGTGTCTGTGTGTGTGTGTCTGTGTGTCTGTGTGTCTGTGAGTGTGTGAATGTGTATGAGTATGTGTCTGTGAGTGTGTGTGTCTGTGAATGTGTGTGTCTGTATGTATGTGTGTGAGTGTGTGAATGTGTATGACTGTGTTTCTGTGAGTGTGTGTGTGTCTGTGAGTGTGTGTCTGTGAATGTGTGTGTCTGTATGTGTGTATGTGTGAGTGTGTGAGTGTGTGTGTGAGTGTTTATGTGTCTGTATGTGTGAGTGTGTGTCTATGACTGTGTCTATACTGTGAGGTGTGTGTCTGTGACTATGTGTGAGTGTGTGTATGAGAGAGAGAGAGAGAGAGCTCAGTGGGCTGGGTTCAGAGACAGGCTCCATCTCCAGAGCTGCCTACTTCCCTGAGTACCACCAAGAGTGACCCCCCCAGCTGGGAGTAGCCCCTTGACACTGCCAGCTTGGCCCCCCAAACCACAGTGTAACAGCTGCAGACTAGCCCGGGTTCTCACACCTGCCAGCAGGTCTTCCCACACACATCAGCCTCAGGGGCTTGGCGTAGAAACGACTCTGGTTGGCGAGGGTCAGGGGCCCTATTTCCAGCAGGCACTCAGGAGGTACTGCTGCTCGGGGGCAAAGGTCATCCTCGGTCACGGGATGCAGAGCTGTGGGTTCTGTCCTCACTGCGATGGCACTGAGCTGCCTGACTTGGGTCTGGTGTCCTTGTGATGGTCCAGGGACACTGCCTGGACCTATGCTAGGGGTATAGGTCCAACTCTTTTCCTGGGCCCGACTCTAAGCCCATGAGGAACTCAGGTCCTCCCAGACGAACCTCCAGGCAGAGCTCAGACAACAAACCCCAGGCATAGGTCCCAGGCACCTCTGCCTCCCTATGCTACTCTTTGAGATAGGCAAGCAGTGGGCACTGCAGTCAGTGGGACATCGGGATCACCCTGGGGTTGGGCGGGGAGGGTGTCAAGTCCCATTCAACACCTGCTAGCAGAGCCGGGCCCCGAGACTGCTCCTGGCCACCAGCACTGGGGGCTGGGCATTTGGGGAGTGTCTCGGGGCCATCCCAGAGGGTGGCACCTAGAAGCAGCCCTTTGGTAGTGACCGTCATGACCCCTTGACCACGATGACCCCAGATATCCAGTGTTTCACTGTCCAGCCCGTCTTGGATGAACACCCCAGGTTCAAGAATAAGCCGGTGCCGGACCAGATTATCAAGTAAGGCCCAGGGCTCACGGGACAGGGGAGGGGCCCCCAGGGGCCCCCACGCTGTGCTGCAGAGGCACAGGTGCTTGCCTGCCGGGTCTGTTCTGCCTCTTGGGGAATCAACCCTCCCCAAAGGGCTGCAGGAACAGAGTATGGCCACCTTGGCGACCCCAGGAATGCTCAGCTGGCAAGGCCCATGCTGGGCGCATTCTCCCAGAGGGGCAGCATTCAGCTCTGCTCAGGCTGTCCACTTCCGCTGGACGCATGAAGGGACTTAAGAGGAAGCAGTGTGACAACAGGTGGCTGTCTGCAGTCGCAGTGATTTGGGAAGGGGGAGGGGGCGCCCTGGTGTCAGCAGGGCCCCCCCATACCCTTGTAGCACCACCCGGCCCCCAGCCTTTGGCCAGTGCCTGCTTGGCTCACCCCCAGGCAGAGAGCCCTAGGAGGGGAGCCTGATGTAGGGGGCAGCTATCCCCAAAGGAAACCCTTGACAGGTCGCCCCCCGGGACGTGAGGCAGGCGCGAGTGTGTCCAGACCCTTCCCAAGGCCCGAGACCCCAAGGGGCGCTTGGCTCAGGCTCCAGGGCGCACTGCCCTCCCCACCACCTGCAGGCAGTGGACCTGAGTCTAAACCCCACAACACAGCCGGGTCCCAGGCGCCCCCCTCTCTCCTGTCTTTCAGCTTCTACAAGTCCAACTACGTGCAGAAGTTTCACTACTCCCGGCCCGTGCGCAGGGGGCCCGTGGACCCTGAGAATGAGTTTGCTGTGAGTACCACCCACCCCCGCCATCCCTGGGCAGTCTGGACCCTCCTGCCCGAGATGCCACGCTGTCTGCTGCTCACAGGAGCCGGTCAGCAGCATCCTGGAAGGCTGGGGGAATCTCCTTTTTCTTTTTCTTTTTTTTTTTAAGTTTTTTTATTGAGTCCCTGTGACATACAGTCACAAAGCTTTTCATGATTGGGTTTCAGTCATACAATGTTCCAATACCCATCCCTCCACCAATGTCAATTTCCCAATACCAATGTGCCCAGTATCCCTCCCACAACCCTCCTCCCACCACACCCCTGCCTCTATGGCAGACACTTTCCTTCTCTCTCTCTCTCTCTCTCTCTCTCTCTCTCTCTCTCTCTCTCTCTCTCTCTCTCCCCCCCCCTTCAGGGCATTATGATTTGCAACACAGATACTGACAGGCCATCATGTTTGGTCCTTTTTCTACTTTCAGCACACATCTCCCATCCCGAGCGATCCCTCCAGCCCTCATTGACTTAGTGATCCCTTCTCTATTCCAGCTGCCTTCTCCCCCAGCTCATGAGACAGGCTTCCAACTATGGGGCAATCCTCCTAGCCCTTGTCTCTACTTGGGTGTCAGTCTCATACTACATTGTTTTATATTCCACAAATGAGTGCAGTCATTCTATGTCTGTCCTTCTGACTCCTTCTGACTTCCTTCTTCCTATGTCTTCCTTCTGACTCCTTTCACTCAGCATGATACTCTCCATGTCCATCTACTTATAAGCGAATGTCATGACTTCATCTTTCCTAACAGCTACATAGTATTCCGTTGTGTAGATGGACCAGAGCCTCTTTGACCCGTCGTCTGTTCATTGTGGCTCTGTTCACAGTAGCCAGCGTCTCTGGTTCCCCTTCTGCCAGACTTTCGCCTTCCAGATATGGCCAGGGCTCTGTCTCAGGCTCAGCAGCCATCGCAGGGTTGGAGATGCACGTGGGCAGTGCAAGATTCTGTGGTGGCTCAGGCCCCTGTATGTCTCAGATCCTCCCGGAGAGTGATACCCCACTGGGCATCCCAGGGAGCCAGTGAGGAGCCATCAGAGTGGCCGCGGCCTCAGGTGCTGTGGGAAGGAGAGCCCCTAGATAGTTTTCCTACTGGAGAGGGGCTTGGGACCCATTGCGTCTGGAAGCTTGGCCTTAGCTGGAGAATCGTTACCCCTGAGACCCCTAACAAGTAGAGGTGCCCGATTCAGCGTGGCCTCAGACTTCGGGCTGCTCAGACCCATAGTAAAACCTCCTCCTGGACCCCCCCTGAGCACTGTGGAATGTGTCCTGGAGGCCCTGCCCAGTCCCCGTAGCACTGTGCTGAGAACCGCCAGGGGGAACCCTGGGCTTTCTGAAAACCACTTAAGGAAGCCCGCACCCCCACCCCCCTAAAAAAAGACCATGGAATACTTAAATTTGACACGGAGACAGGGTTCCTCTGGGGTGGTGGGAGCCACGTCTGGTACTGCGGTGTTTACTGGGGTTTTTGTGGCTGGGAGGCTCGGGGTCTGGTCAGCTGTGGTCCAGCTTCTCGGGGTCTCATTGCTGTTGCTTTCTGCCTGTGGGTCAGTCCATGTGGATCGAGAGAACCTCCTTCATGACCGCCTACAAGCTCCCAGGGATCCTGCGCTGGTTCGAAGTGGTTCACATGTTCCAGGTGAGCCTGGGGATGCCCCTCCCTCAGAGAAAGGGAGCGGCTCTGTCAGAGTCATGGGGCGGGGGGCCGGAATTCCAGCGTGAGGATTCCACGGGGAGTCTTGGCTTCCAGATTCTTATTTTTATTAAAAAAAAAAATAAAAAAGCGTCGGTGACTTGAGTTACCTTGTAATTGAAACTAAGAATCCAGTCTTGAATTGAACAAATTGGGAACTTCTGGGGTTGGGTGCAGGAGCCTGGAACTGCAACCCGCCATCACCACCTCATATCTCCCCAACCCTGCAGCCTTGCAAGTCACCTCTGTAGGTAACTGCCAGGAGCCCATTTTATAGACGCATAAACTGAGCGTCAGTGAGGAGCTCACGCAGAGGCAAAACCAGGGTTTTCATTCTGAACATTTTCGCTTTAGCCACTTGGATCCTTTCTAGGGTCCTGGGAATTATTGGGTGGTCTGAGGGACCCAGAGGAAGGAGAGAGGAAGCCTAGTCAAGGGGTCAGTTACTGTCAACCCCCACACCTTCCAGCTCCCTTTAGCACCACACGAGATGACTCATGCCTCAGTTCCCTCATCTGTAAAATGGGAGAACAAGTTTTTACTTCACAGTGTTGCTCAGGGATTAAAGTCAGTTCAGACCTGGGAATGGTTCAGCAAGCTCTGTAAATGCTTCCTGAGGTCATCGCTGTGTTATATCTCACCCCCGCCCCTGGGGTCTAGACCAGGCTGTCAGGCGGCCGCCGGGACCTGATGGTCTCAAGGCTGATAGTGGCTAGACCACATCTCTCCTCCTCTCAGGCTCCATCCCTCCGTGGAGAAGCCACACGCCTTACACTGACAGGAGGGAGAGCCCCACGCCTCAGATTCAGACCCGAGCACGTCCTGGCCCAGGCCCTCTGTCTGTTAGAATTGCCCCTCCCTTCAGTGTCCGCACCGACACCCCCCACCTTCGAGCCCTGCAAGCCTGCTGTGGTGGGGAGGGGGTGCTTTCCATGGCCGCCACCCTCCGCCATGCCTGCTTGGTGTTTCACCGTCTGATACGCTGGTCTTTCCGTTTCCCCTGCTCCATTCACATGTGAAATCGACAGTGAAATCTCCAGGTCTTAGGATAGTGCTTGACCCAGTTACATATGTGTTGGGAGAGAGATGGATAAGCCCCCCTGAGTCAGCTCCTACTCCCAAGAGTCCCCACTGTTATCCCCCTCGAGAGCCGCAGAGTTCTCGACTGCGCCCCAAAGCAGAGTCCTCCCACGCTTTTCTTCCACCTGCGTGTCGGCACCGCTCCACAGATGGGGGCTGTGGAACACTGCCTGACTGCGTGTCGAGCAGTAAGACCAAGCATCTCCCCCTCACGGCCAGTCAGTCAGGGCTCTGTGCTGAGGACACAGATGTGGCCCCATCGAGAGGCCGGGGGCGTGAAGGCAGTGGGGGAACCCACCATGGGAGCCGGGAGTCTCTCATTCCTCCCCCCCAGCTCTGCCACCATGTACCCTGGGAGTCTCCGCCCACTGTCGGGGCCTTAAGTGAGCGCCATCGTATGCCAGGCCCCGCGTGGGCACGCAGACGGGGGCGAGAGATAGATAGGTCCCCCTCTCTCCCGTATCACCTGCTGACCTTCATCCAGGTGGTCAGCCTCACCAGACATGCACATGACTCCATCACTGCTGCAGAGTCGGGTCTGTTCCCACATACACAAGATCCTAAAGGAGACGTCACTCTCCATCCCTGCTCCTGATGGCTGTAGTGAGGTTAAGATTTGGGGATTCACAGAGAGCCGCAGAAAAACAAGGAAACCAATCAGTAGGGCTTGACACTCTTAATGACCCTCCTTAAAGCCCATGCCGCTCTGACCGCTGTCACGGCTCCTATGGAAATCTAGGTGCTATGTCGGGCTCTGTCCAGGTGGCCAGGATGAGTTTCCTGAGCATTCGGTCTGCACCCTGGATTCTGAAAGCCCCTACAGGGATGGTCCGCGTGACCGACAGACACGATGACATGGACTAGAGGCTGTGGCTCCCATCAGAAGAGCACAGCAGTCTCCACTTATAGCTCACTGTGTGTGTGCACATGCGTGCATGTGTGCATGTGTGTGTTCATGTCTGTGCATGTGTTTTTGCACATGTGTGTACATGTGTGTGTTCATGTTTTTGTACTTGTGTGTATTTTTGCACATGTGTGTGCATGCATGTGTGCATATGCTTCTGCACGTGCGTGTGTGCCTGCCGTGCCTACATGTGGATCTGACGATCTCGTTTTCCGCAGAGCACCATCAGTCCTCTGGAGAACGCCATCGAAACCATGTCCACGGCCAACGAGAAGATCCTGATGATGATCAACCAGTACCAGGGCGACGAGAGTCTCCCCATCAACCCGCTGTCCATGCTCCTCAATGGGATCGTGGACCCTGCCGTCATGGGGGGGTTTGCCAAGTATGAAAAGGTAAGGGGGCTGGAGCGTTAGCACAGCGGGGAGGGCATTTGCCTTGCACATGGCTGACCCAAGTTCAATTCCCAGCATCCCATATGGTCCCCCGAGCACCTTCAGGAGTGATTCCTGAGTGCATGAGCCAGGAGTAACCCCTGTGCATCGCTAGGTGTGACCCAAAAAGAAGAAAAAAAAAGAAAGAAAAGTGAGGCCCCCTGCCAGGCCCAAGGGGGCAGCAGCGGAGCAGCAGGCTGGCCCAGGGGCCGTCCGTACTGCCTGGCTGGACCTGGCTGCCTGGCCCCTGGAGATACTTCAAGCCTGTGTACCCTCATCCGGAGAGTCCCCAGCCTTCTCTCACCTCCTCCTGCCATCGTCACTTTCTGTGTCGGAGAGAAGAAGCCGGCCACAGCCAGGCCTTCCGTCCCCTTCCCGCCCTCTTGGCTACTTCCCATTTTCCCTTCCTTCTTCAGGAATGCTTGTGGGCTGACCACAGACCAGCTCCTCTCAGGCCCAGGAGCCAGGGGTCACAGTCCATGCCGTGTGCGCAAACCAGGCTTCCATAGATACTGAGAGATCCCCGACAGAAGGCAAGAGGCAGGGCTCAGAACAGGCGACTCCCAAGGGAGATGAGATACTCCAGGCTGGAGTCCCAGCTTTGCTTTGCTTTTTTCTCCGCTTTCCTTTCTTTCTTTCTTTCTTTCTTTCTTTCTTTCTTTCTTTCTTTCTTTCTTTCTTCCTTCCTCCCTTCCTTCCTTCCTTCCTTCCTTCCTTCCTTTCTTTATCTCTTTCTCTCTTTCTTCCTTTTTTTTTGAGCTTCCCGGTATCTGTGGCAGAAAGAGAAGTGTCATCAATCATATGCATCCCATTATCCACTTCAATTATATGTTTCACTTTATCCACTGGGCAAAATCAGTAGTGGCTTCCCGGTAGGGGGACAGAGCCTTTCCTGGCAGCAAGGGGGAATGGAAAGTCCTGGCTTGGTTTTGGCCAAGGACATGAATTAACGGGCCACTGAGAAGGAAGTGGGCATCTGTTCCTGTGAAACTGAGACCAGCGCTGGGAGTGGAATTGGAGCACCTGCTAGGAGGTGGACTCCTCAGCCTGGGGAGCTGAGCTCCAGGACGCACCCCCTGGAGGGCTCCTCGATTCCCTCACACTCCACCCCAGCCCAGGGATTTGGATCCTGCGTGGGTCTGGGCAGGGCCAAGGCTCTGCATGTGACAGTGCTGAGGTGGCGGGTCCAGGGGTCAACCCCACTTTGAGAACCGCTTCCCCTGGGGTAGGAACTCATCTGCCTGTGAACTTATCCGGGCCGGAGAGCTGGTTCTGGGGTGCAGGGGGGCCCGGGAGCAGGGAGCCCCAGCCACCTCTCTGCCCTCCCCAGGCCTTCTTCACTGAAGACTACAGCCGGGAGCACCCCGAGGACCAGGACAAGCTGAACCGCCTCAAGGACCTCATAGCCTGGCAGGTAAAGCCCAGCTGCCCCCTGTGGCCTGGTGGTCTCGTCTCTTCCCGGGGCCTTTGTCCGGCTGCTGGGGGGCAGAGGGCCTGGATTCAGCACCAGCCGCTCAGCCCTCGGGAGCCAGGCCAGGGTGCTGGGGGACGCCCTTCCATCCTTGCTGGCACCATTGCCGCCCCCCCCCCCCCGACTAAATCCCTTCTCTCCAGGTACCCCTTCTCCCTCCTGCCCCTCCTTCCTCTTCCTCTCCTGTCTCCGCCCCCTCCTCCCCCAGGGCCTCTCCTCTCCCGATACCTGCAGAAGTTCCAGGGGACCCCAGCCTCCCTCCGGGCACACACTCCCTGCTTGCTCTGGTCCTCCGTGGAGAACCAGCAGCACCCAGAGCAGAGGCTGGGGGAGGCAGTCACTGCAGAGAAAAGCCAGCTATTGTGGGGGCAGTTTCTGGGACTCTGGGGAAGTCAGGGAGTGAGAAGCACTGGGTACAGCCTTTTTTCTTAAAATAAGGGCTCCTAATTCAGGCCCTGCCCTGCCTCTGCCAATCTATGCCAAGCGAGGCTTTAGAACCAGGCGCCGGGCTCTGCACACACAGTCTTGCCGGAGTGCATCTGCGTCTCTGGAAGTTTCTCTCCCTTCTTAGCCCGTGCCACCTGTGACACCAAGACGCCCCCAAAGTCCCCAGCTGCCCAAGGGCATGGCGTCCCCATCCCTACATGGAAAGCAGGAAGGCCCAGCTTTGACTCATTTTCTTCTTTCCTCGCATGGTTCTGGGGATGCCCGGGGAGGGCTAAAAGATCACATAGACTTGGTTATCCAGTTTCACTCTCAATCCACATCTCTGCCCCCGGGCCTCTAGACCTCTGGTATTTTTTTTTTTAGATTTTTATTAGTGAAACACATGAGGTACAGTTGTAGACTTACAAATTTTTGTGCTTGGGTTTCAATTATACCTCCGGTATTTTTGCCGGATAATGAACTCTCCGGAGCAATAACACAGCAGGTAGGGTGTTTGCCTTGCCTGCGGGCCGACCCGGGTTCGATTCCCAGCATGTTCCCCTGAGCACCGCCAGGAGTAATTCCTGAGTGCAGAGCCAGGAGGAACCCCTGTGCATCGCCGGGTGTGACCCAAAAATCAAAAATAAATAAATAAATAAACTCTGCATGCAGTGTTCTCAGCACAGCTTGCACCCACCTGTGCTCTCTCAAGAAATTCTTGGGGGTAATCCAGAGAAGCATGGCCCCCTCAACCCCTCGCGGGCGCACAGAGAAAGGATACTTGGAGAGCAGCTGCTTGGCGTGACAGCTTCGAAGAGCCCTTTGGAGCTCCGAGCTGTTTCACGTGGCGCCCCCTAGTGACCCTCGTTCCTTTAGCACAAGTCCCCAGCCCAGCCCATTTCAGTAGCCCTGGGTTACTACCAGAAAGGAGAATGACCGAGCGTCATGGCCCCCACCCAGAGAAAGGTCCCCTAACTGGACACCTGCCAAACTGACAGTGAAATAAGTCCTCTGCCTCGTCAGAAATTAGCCTTCCTCAGGCACTGAGGCTGGCTCCTGCTGTGTACTGAATTTGCATGGACCATGTTCCGGGCAGCAGAAATACAGCAACAAAATTGGGCCCACAGAAGCTCCTCTTGGAGCTTAGTTCTAGGGAGCATCTTGCTTCTCAGAGGCTGGTTGGCTTTTCTCTCAGATGTAGCCCCGCCAGGTTTCAGAGGGGAGGGACTGGCCCCTGCCACGCTGGTCTTTGAAAGCCCTCTTTGTATTGATTGCAGCTTTTTTTTTCTTTTTAAAGATTTTCTCTGAATTCACCAACATGGAGAGTGTCTAGAGAATATTCTCCCTTGAAACATTTGGCGAAGAGTGAGAAATGCTCACATAACAAAGCCGTCCAGTCCGCTGATTTCTCTCCCGACACCTGTGGCATGGCCCGGGTGCGGGAGTGAATTCCGCTGACTCCGTAGGCCCCGCCGTCTTCCTCATCCTCCTCCCCCTCCCCAGGGTGGGCTTCCTGCCCCAAAGAGCAGTCATTTCCCATCTCCACCGCCCGCGCACTCCTTCCTAAACACCTCGTTTGCTCCTGCTTATTTCTTTTTTTTTTTCCCACCAGTGGAAGTAGTCAATTCTCTTTTTTTTTTTTCTAATTTTTATTAGTGAAACACCATGAGGTACAGTTGTAGACTTACAAATTTTTGTGCTTGGGTTTCAGTTATACAATGATCAAGTACCCATCCTTTCACCACCAGTGCCCATTTTCTGCCACCATGGGTCCCAGTATCCCTCCCACCCACCCCCATTCCCCCCACCCCACCCTGCCTCTGTGGTAGGGCATTCCCCTCTATTCTCTCTCTCCTTTTGGGTATTGTAGTTTGCAAAAGAGTCATTGAGTGGCAATCATGTTTGGTCTATAGTCTACTTTTAGCATGCTTCTCCCATCCTGGGAGGGTCCTCACAATACCCTTTATTTGTGCTCTCTTCTCTATCTGAGCTTCCTTTTCACCTAGCATGTGTGGCTGGCCTCCAAGTCTTGGAGCAAACTTCCTGGTACTAATCTCAGCCATTCCTGGGTGTTAGTCTCCGTTTTGTTGCTTTATATTCCCCAGATGAATGCAGTCTTTCTGTATCTATCCCTTTCTTTCTGACTCATTTCGCTTAACATGATACTTTCCATGTAGTACCACTTGTATGTAAATTTCATGACTTCATCTTTTCTGACAGCTACATAGTATTCCATTGTGTAGATGTAGCAAAGCTTCTTTAACCAGTCATCTGTTCTTGGGCACTCAGGTTTTTTCCAGATTCTGGCTATTGTAAAGAGTGCTGCAACAAACAAACAAGTGCTCCTGATTTAACCCACATATAGATGGCACCGCGCTGAGAGCATTCCCCTGGGTCAGCGCCGTCGGTGGTTCTGTTGCCTTGTTGGTAGCAGCTGTGCTTCTCCTCTGCACGGTCTCTGTGCAGCCAGGTTATGTGATGCTGCCTCACTGTCCTGGTTCCCCTGGGAACTGACGGAGACCGGGTCAGGGGAGTTCCTCGTAGGGGGCCACTGTTGTGGCCATCCATGGGGCTATGGTTTGGGTGCAACCATGCACCATTTCTGCTGGGTGTGTGGCGGGTGGGGAATGGCTTGGTTGGCATATGTGAGAACGCCTGGTTCCGGGCCAGACCCCTGTCACCACAGTGAGTTTTGCCTCTTCCTGACTTGCCATGTAAATGGGATGATATTGTGTGCCTGGCTTCTTTATTCCCACTCTAAGACCTGCGATAGTCAAACAGATTGTTGCATGAATCGGGGTTTTTTCCTTCTGTGTCTGAGTGTCAGCCTGTGTATGAAATACGTGCTCTACAGATACCACGTCAACATCCATTCTCATGGTGGTAGATTTGGGGGTGATATTCAGGTCTGGGGCAGAACGAATCAGGTTACACCGAGAGTTCTTGCTGGTATCTTTTGGGGACCATAACCCTCGTTCCCCAGCACACACCTGCAGAGGGGAGAGGGGAGGGGCCGTGCTTGGAGGCTGTGCATCCGGGTCTTACTGGCTACCCCGAAGCAACTTTCCCAGCTGGCTGGACCAATTTGTACTCCTCCCACCAAGATTCCTGTGTATCTCAGTCACTCCACATCATTTTATTTTATTTTATTTTATTGTGATGTTGTTTCATCATAAATGTTAAGGTCTGAGTGTGAAAGTGTATATCTGTGTGTGTATTTGTGCATATATATATATGCAAAATCATTGTATCACTTCCTACAACCCCCCTCCAAAATACAGGAATAAATATATGGCTATTTGGGGGAGAACATTTGGGAGGAATCGAACCAGGGTCAGCCTGGGTTGGCTGCGTGCAAGGAAAGTGTCCTACCCACTGTGCTATCGATCACTCAGCAAAATTGTGCAGTTTTCAGTGAAGAGGTCTTTCACACTATCGTGGACTTCTATGTATTTGATCATTTTGGTTTCATTGTAAGTGGTATTGTTTCCTAATTTTTACCTTTGTCAATATGAGTACAGTGGAATTGTTTGGTTATTGACCTCATGTCCAGCAACTTACCATTTCACTTAAGAAGTCACTTTTCTGCATTTCTCCAGATGTTCTATAGATAGTCACATCATCTGCTAATATAAGCAGTTTTACTTCTTTTCCAGTCTTAGGCTTTTTATTTACTTTTCTTGCATTATTTCACTGAGGAATAGGGGAGAGGAAGAGCATAGACTGCCCTGTGTCAGGCAAGTGTTTCAGAGTGGAATGTTTGGAATCTGATCAGTTTGATCTGATGTGATCTGATAAAGCAGCCAGTTTGCCGCTTTACTGTGAATCCGTTTTTCATTTGTCGAATCCCTTTTCTGCACCGGTTGCAGGATTCATGCTCTCCTTTATCTGGTTAGTGCACTGAATTATATTGATTGGCTCTGGAATGTTGAACTAACCTTGGTAAACAACATAAATGCTACTTGGTCACAACGTATTTTCATCTTTATATATTACTGGATTTCGGGTTCGATATCCACCTACGATTTCCTTTCCTGTCCTCACCAACTCTTTATAGAGTCTTTGCTCTGTTTTCAGTGTTCACTGGCTGGATAGGACAGCAGAGAAGAAAGCACTTGCCTTGCATGTGGCTGCCCTGGATTTGATCCCCAGTACCCCATATGGTCCCCCTGAGACCCACCAGCTGTGATCCCTAAGTGCACAGCCAGGAGTAAGCCCTGAGTATGCTGGAGTATGCTGGGTGTGGCCTGAAAACCAGCAAACACACACACACACACACACACACACACACACACACACACACACACCCCAAACCATGATCAGAATTCACTGACTTGTCACGAACATGACCCTTCCTTTTCCTTCCCTTGTGTAAGAGCCTACTTCAGTTCTTCGTAACTAAGTTTCTCCGAGTCTTGAAAAGCTCAAATTTATTCCCTCCTTTTCAAGTTTTGCAGAAGAGTTTGTATAAAAGTGCATGTATTTGTCCCTTAAATGTTAGAGTTTGTTGCTTGAAGGCTTTTTCCACTCTGGACAAGCCCCTGTTCTCTCCCAGACATATTCCTCTCCTTGCCCCTCGCATCTCTCTCTGTAAATTTCTTTTAATGAAAACTATTTTTCTTCATGAAAAAAGAAAATAATTGTTGGTAAAGTCCTTTAGGTCAGGGATGTTTTAAAGTGTTTTTTAATTTAATGTTTTTGTTTTCTTTTTTTTATTTTTCTGGGACTGGAGCGATAGCACAGCGGTAGGGCGTTTGCCTTGCACGCAGCCGGCCAAGCTGACCCGGGTTCAATTCCTCCACCCCTCTCAGAGAGCCTGGCAAGCTACCGAGAGTATCTCGCACACCCGGCAAAGCCTGGCAAGCTCCCCGTGGCGTATTCAATATGCCAAACACAGTAACAACAAGTCTCAATGGAGACGTTACTGGTGCCTGCTCGAGCAAATCGATGAACAATGGTAGGACAGTGCTACAGTGTTTTTTCTAGTAAATTGTGTTTTTCTCACTTTTTTTATGTTTATCCACATATTATCAAACTTTTAGCTTGTTGACTTTTTTTTTATTTAATCATTTTTTTATTAGTGAAACACCATGAGGTACATTTATAGACGTATAAATTTTTGTGCTTGGGTTTCAGTTATACAATGATCAAGTACCCATCCCTCCACCAGTGCCCATCCTCCCCCACCACGGGTCCTAGCATCCCTCCCACCCCCTGTTGACTTGTTTTTAAAATAAGTCTTCTTATCGTCTTTCATATGTTTATTTTGTAGTGATGCTCCTTTTCAAAAATTCTGATATTGGTTATCAATGCCTTCTGTTTTTTTAATAGTCAATATAATGGATTATCAGTAATATGTATTTTTCAAAGGACCATTTTTGCCTTCATTGATCCTCTCGGTTATAACTACATTTTTCAACTCATGCCAATTCTTTTATTATCCTCTTTACTCTCTGGGTTTAATTTTCTGTTCTTTTGCTAATATTTTCAGATGGGTGCTTAGTAATTAACTTCCTATTATATGAATTTGGAATCATAAATTTACCTCTTTCTGGCGCGTCATATCTCACAAGTACTCTCGCTATGTCATGCCTGCGGGTTTTTCTGTTCCTATTAAATGTTGTTCACTGTCTTTTCTTAAGTTATCTTTACTCTGTGTCCCCCCCCCCCCCGGATTTATTCATTTGTCCTTCCTTCATTCCTCTCCCTCCTCTCCCTTCATACTTCCCTCCCTCCCTCACTCTGTTCCTTCCTTCCTCTCATCTCTGTTGGTTTCTCTCTGGCTCAGACCAGAGAGACTCTGCCGTGTCTGGGGCAGTGTCACTAAGGGGCCGGTGGACTCTCTTGGCCGGGGAGGTGGGGGTCCCTAAGGGGCTGAGTGGGCTCTGTGTGGCCAGAGTGAGTCCTCCAGGGGACGGTGCTGCTGGGAGTGGCCCCCACATTGTCAGGAGACAGGTCCTGGGAGTGGCCCCCACATTGTCGGAAGACGGGTCCTTCCGGCAGTGTCTCGGGAGAGAATCCTGGCTTCTCAGCTGGGCCCTGAGTCCTGCTCCTCTGCGGAGTGCAGAGATGGGCCTCAGCCCTCCATAGGGCCTCGGGGCCTTCCTCCCTGCCTCAGAGCAGACCCTGGGTGCCCACTTTTCCTTTCCCAGGACTGGGGGCCCCGCAGGAAGGGCTCTGAGGGCCCAAGGGCCCCGGCGGTCTCAATCCACACCACCGTCATCATCATTCCCGCCACCCCCTCTCTGCAGATCCCCTTCCTGGGGGCGGGCATCAGGCTCCACGAGAAACGCGTGTCGGAGAATCTGCGGCCCTTCCACGACCGCATGGAGGAGTGTTTCAGGAACCTGAAAGTGAAGGTGGAGAAGGAGTACGGAGTCAGAGAGATGGTACGGGGCCGTCGGGGCGGGGTGGAGAGGGGGCGGGGGGAGCCGTGTCAGCATTTCTCAGTGAGCCCCTCCGCTCACGGCGCTGCCACGATCATAAATGCCACTTCCACTCGCTCGCCCAGTGCCCACGAGTCTGGTGCTCAGAGCGATATTGGGGTCCTTGGGCCCTTCCCAGCGGGGCGCTGATGGACACGCAGAGCTCGAGGGCAGCGCTGTTGGGCCCCTCCACACCTGCGTGGCAGGACACGGATGGTGGTTGGAGAAGAGCACCACCGGGCAGGGGGCAGTGAGGGCACGTCCCCGATAGAGGCTACAAACCAGCGAGATGATAGTTGGGGAGGCCCGAGGGGCAGGGTGAGGGAGGGGACAGAGGCCTAGCCTCGGGGACCCCAGGCAAAGCCCTGCTGCCCTCGGCGCACGGGGACATGTGTGGCCAGCCCAGAGACTGTGCCAGCCCCCGCGGGGGTCCTGAGAGTACCGCGCTGGTGGGCCGGAGCCTGGAAAGTGGTACTGGTCGCTGCTGGCTTGGAAGGCCAGCCCCGGCCCACATGTGGGTCTCCCTGTGCCCACCCAGCTCCTCGGCAGTGCTGCCCGCAGCTGTCAGGCCCACCCCTCCCTTCCTCTCAGTAGGCAGGAAGCCTGGGGGGGTCGTTGCTGGCCCCCCGCCCCCTGCTGGGCCGCTCCCCAGCCCCCCACTCTCCCTCCCGCAGCCCGACTTCGAGGACCGGCGCATGGGCCGCCCACGCTCCATGCTGCGCTCCTACCGGCAGATGTCCATCATCTCCATGGCGTCCATGGGCTCCGACTGCAGCACCCCCAGCAAGACCACGCCTGAGAGGTGGGCCCTGCACCCCACAGCCCACCCAGCCCAGCCCCATGCTCCTCCCGAGACCACCCCTGCCCACTGGGCGCCTCACCAGGGGGGCCCTGGGCACTCGCCTGCTCCTCCCGGCCCACTCTGGTCTGGAGTCTCCTCCCCTCTGCAAAGCCGTTCTCCCAGCCGCCTTTCACTGAGCTCAGCCGGGGTCCTCCCTCACCCCTGCCTGCCCCCCTCCGCTGCCCGAGACCGCATCTGGGAGTGAGCGTGCTGCGAGGTCACTGCACACAGCCCCACAGGAGGAAACGCGGCACTAGGAACCCGGCGGCCCACCCCCCACCCCAGTTTCAGTCCTGCTCCCAAGGACTCTCCCCCTTCACGCTCCTTTCCCTGGAGGGCTCGGCCCAGAAACGGGGGCCTTCCTGGCTCTGCCCAGAGCTGACCCTCCCCTGTCCGGGCAGCCAGCCAGGGCGCGGGGCCTCCGGGGACGGGAGCTCGTGCCACTGACCGGCCCCACCCGCCCCTTCAGCTTCGACCTGGAGGCAGCATCATCCCAGCCGCCGAGGGCCGAGCCGGAGCCCATCTGCCCGGGGAGCACCCTGCCCGAGGTCAAGCTGCGCAGGTCCAAGAAGAGGGCCAAGAGGAGCAGCGTGGTGTTCGCCGACGAGAAGGCGGCGGCCGAGTCGGAACTGAAGCGGGTGAGTCTCCCCCGGAGTCGGCACCCCAGGGCCCGGGTCTGGCCGCGAGGCCCCATCAGAGCCAGGACTTGAGCCCTGTGTGGCTGTGAGGCCCTGGCAGGGTGGGGACTTGAACCCACGCCGAGCAACTCAAGCCTGCCCCGCCCCGGCCTTGTAACTGAATCCCGTGAGACTTGGTGTCAGCCAGCCCTGGGCCCCCTTCCGACACCCCCGCCCCCACAGGAAAAGTTGGCTGACAGCATTCGGGGGGGGGGGGGGGGGGGGCCTCCGAGGAGGGAGGGAGGAGCTCCCCGGGTGCCAGAGGCAAAGGAACCTCAGGGTGCTCCCCACACTCCTCCCAGGAGATCTCCGAGGCTACAGTTGACAGCTGCAGAAGGAGGTGGGAGCAGTCTCAGGGTCACAAGTTCCCAGGGTCTAACTCCTCTGCAGTCACACGTGGCAGCTGCATTGGGACGAAGCAACAAAATAAAATTTGCATCTGGGCCTCAGAGCTGCCTTGACTGAGTGTGTGTGTGTGTGTGTGTGTGTGTGTGTGTGTGTGTGTCTGTGTCTGTGTCTGTATCTATGTGTGCATGTGTGTATCTGTCTGTGTGTGTATATGTGCATGTGTGTGTCTGTGTCTGTGTCTGTATATATATATCTGTGTATGTATCTGTGTGTGCATGCGTGTGTGCGTGCGTGTGTCTGTGTATGTATCTGTGTGTGCGTGTTTGTGTCTGTGTGTATCTCTGTGTGTATCTGTGTGTGCATATGTGTGTGTGCATACGTGTGTCTGTGTATTTCTCTGTGTGTCTATGTATGTATCTTGGTGCATGTGCACGTGTGTATCTATGTATGTGTTCATGTGTGTGTATATATATCTGTGTGTATGCATGTGTGTGTGCGCATATATCTGTCTGTCTGTGTGTGTGTGTGTGTGTGTGTGTGTGTGTGTGTGTGTGTTCCTCCAGCTCTCCAGGAAGCATGAGTTCATGAGCGACACCAACCTCTCGGAGCACACAGCCGTCCTTCCCAGGGGGTCCATCCTGTCCCAGATGAGCTTTGCCAGCCAGTCCATGCCCACCATCCCAGGTAGTCCCGGCCAGCCGCCACCTGGGGCGTGGGGGGCGGGCGGGAAACAGATCCCGGGGCAGTGGGCCCAGCGAGGGCTAAAGGCCTGCTGCTCCCCCGGAGCTCTGGGTCCTCGGGGCTCACACAGGTGGCCCTGCCTTCCCTGCCAGCCTGGCCCCAGGGAGCAGAAGTCCATCTGGGCCTGCCCCTGAGTTCCGTGTTTCCTTGGGGGGGCTGGAACTGCCCTGTGTCTAAGAGCTGCCGGCCAGGGTCCACTGTGGAGCAGGCCAGCAGACACTGTCCCTCCGTCAGGGGGAGCTGAGGCCCGGAGTTGGCGTGGCGCTCGGCGTCTGCCCTGTGTGCCAGGCTCTCGATGCCCGGGGCCCCGGTCTTCGCCCTCCATCCATCCAGTCACAGTTCCACACATGCCTCGGAGGGAAACGCACTGTTTGACCCAGTCCCGATGAAGAAACCGAGGCACTGAGGACACCAGTACCCCCGCCTGTCGCTGGGTTCAGACCCTGTGTGGTACTGACCACTGGCAGCCATACCAGGCAGGACAGCACCCCTCACCCTACGCCACACTCAGGGCTCCCTCCACCCTCGCGTTTCCCAGGTTCCGGGTGGACCTGCTGACCGCTAGGTGTGCGCCCCGGAGGGCACCTGGGGCAGGAGCCGGCTGCTCACCGGCCCTCCGGAGTCACAGGACAAGTTCCTGGCCTCGTCTCGCCGGGGCCCGTCCACCCTCAGGTGCCCTCTGTCCCTCCCTGCGCTGCTCCCACCCCTCATGCCACCTCCCTCCCCTCCCAGGCCTCACCGTCTCTACGACAGGTGTCCCTGGGACGGACGAGGCGGCCAACTTGTCCCCCCGCCTCAGCCAGACCTTCCTCCCACTCGCGGAGGCTGACAAGAAGACGCTCAAACGGAAGAAAGTGAATCAGTTCTTCAAGACCATGGTGAGGAGCAGGGGGGTCCCCAGCGGGTGTGGGCAGAGGGGGGCCGTGCACGCGTGTGTGCATCTGTGTGGTTGCTCAGGGAGCCAGGGTTGGGCCCTGGGCTAAGCCCAGCCAGGCCAGGACGACTGCCTGTCCCACCCTGAGCTGGCTTGTTCTTCTGATCCAGACGGGCCTGCCGGGCCGCAGGAACATTCTGGAAGGCTCGTGCCAGGCTGCAGACCGTAGGACCGCCTGGGGCGGGTCTGTCTTTGGGCCTGTCAGCAGGGCCTCCTGCCGTTCCGGGGAAGCCATCGTGTTCACAGGGTGTCCCGTGCCCCAGGCCCTGGGCCAGCCACAGTCGGGGGCTGGGGGCTGTCCGCCGAAGAAGCTGGCCAGGGGCGTGGCACTCACGGTGCCCACCGGGCCTTGCGTTTGTGTGTCCTCTCGCCCCGCAAAGCTGGCCAGCAAATCCCCCGAGGAAGGCAAGCCGGCGCCCGACGTGCCGAATGCCGACCTATGAGCTGCTATTTCCACGGACACTCGTGGGACCCGGGAGAGAAGCTTCAGCTGACGGAGACATGGGAGGGACCCTGATGGCTCCAACAGTGAGACCCCCACCCCTGCCCAGCATTCAGATGGGACCCCGACGGCGGGTCTGCACCCCAGAGCCCGCTGAGGCAGGCCCCACATCCTCCATGCGGGCAGGCCACGGCAGCTCCTCAGTGGGCAGATCAGTGGCAAGGACCCCCCGACCCCCCACCCCAGGTCTTGGCGGTACAAGACACCAGCAAGACGTGTCCCTGCCCAAACGCTGTTTACAAGCCTCCTTCTTGCCGATAAGGATCCTCTCTCCCTTTCACTGGCTGAATCCTGGTACCTACCAGGGAAAATCTCCCTTAAAATGTGCTTGTATTTCATTTGTGATTAACAAAGTTTCTGTACCTTAAAAAAAAATTTTGCATGGTTTTGTCCAAGTGTGTATTTTGTGAATGTACTTTTTAAGAAAGTTGTACTTAGAAAAAAACAGTATTTTGTGCTTAATTTCTTTAAAACTGTAACCCCCAGTCCCTACCTCTAGCCCCTCACCTATGCGCCGCCGTGTCTTCCAATAAACACGGTTCCTGCAGCAGGCCTGGTGTGTGGTCCATCCCTGTCCAGGGCCGGCTGGTGGGGTTCCCTCTGCCCCCAATGCCAGGTTTGCCCACCTCGTCCATGTTGCCCCACGAGTCTTCTACATGCAGGTCGGTTCCTGGGCCACAGAAAGGAGTAGAGATGGCCGGAATCCGCCCCTCACGCCCACGCTGAGGGGACTTTGGTCTTCGCTGTCTCTGCCCAGAAGCTGCCACACACACCGACTCCCTCGAAATGAAGATCCCAGCCACTGGGAGCAGCAGGCTGAGGTCTTCCTGCTTAGATGGTCACCAGGAACCCCCTGGCCTTCGGATGCTGTCCCAGAGAAACTTGGACTCCTGCAGCGTGACCTAGGCCCAGAGCAGAAGTCACCGCCGACCTGCAGGGGCCAGACCTGGAGGGTCTCCGGATGGGGGTCACAGTGGCCACGTGTCTTAGAGACCATGTCCTGCGGGCCAGACGGTGAGGGGCTCGAGGGCTGGACCAGGAGAGCCCGGACACTGGCTCCCACCCTCAATCTGTGATGGGCCACCTCGAAGGGGCGTCTCAAGCACAGGGGTCTCTCTCTGAGCCACCCAACTGGCCGCTCTCACACCCAGGAGAGCCAGCAGCAATCTCTGCTCAAGGTGGCAGGACGGGGTCAGCCACCATGGGAAGGGGAGAAGAACGGAAACCTCCTCCCACGGAAACCGCAGGTGTGGGGGCCGCTAGCCGAGAACTGCGGCACACAGGATGGACCCCACAGAACATCCGAACTCGACGCCCCAATGGACCAGTGGACGCCCCAGGTCTGGGTCTGAAGGAGAGGCCGACACTATGCACTCGCTGTCCCCAGGTCCACCACCCACACTGCAGCATTCGTAGGATGTGGAGGTGCCCCGAGGACCCCGATGGAGGAACTGTGGTCACTTCGGAGACCTCCGCTCGGCCGGAACCCTGACGGAAGCCTGCCTTGGGGAACGGACCTCGAGGGCACTGTTCCACGTGAAGCCGGTCAAAGACAGATGCTGTGTCATCTCACGAAGCACATGGCCAACCCGGCAGGAGCCTGAGAACTGCACCACGGAACAGTGGGCGTACGGGGCAGGGGGCCGGCAGCCAACGAGCGCCCTCCCCCGACACCCCACAGTCGCTCCATTCTGATTCCTGCTTTGATCTGATTTTTCAGTCCTCCGGGTTTACTCCTGGATTTGCACTAAGGGGCCTCTCCTGGTGGTGCTCAGGAGACCCTATGTGATGGTGCGAGGGATGGTCCGGGGTCAGTCCTGTGCCAGGCCAGCCTGTTCTTCCTCCGGCTCTTCGTCCTGCTTTCTACGAGACGCCCACTAGAGGGCGGTATTGGCCTACTTTCGTCCACCGGCCCCCAGAGGGTGTTGGAGAAGCCCCAGGACCCTTTCTCCCAGGTGGAGAAAACCCAGGTCTGGCTCTGGCCCTGCCCGCGGCTCAGGAGACAGGCTCTGCTGAGCACAGCCTGCGAGGAGTCGCCTTGCAGTGTCCCCACTGTATGTAGCAGGAGGCTGTGGCCACCGGACGCCAGCTCAGCCCAAAGGCCTTGATTTTCACCCCCCAGCCAGGCAGATGGTGTAGTGAGTGGATGAGCACATGACCACTGGTGATTGCAGCACCCGCTACAGAGGGCAAGACAGGTGACACCCGAAGTCCCGCCATGAGGCGCTCAGGATGATCAGCCTTTCAGGCGAATCCACTCCTAAGCACCACCGCTCCTGGAGTGGCACTCCACCCCTTGCCTGCTGGATTCGACTTTTTCTCTCCTCACCATAATCAATGACATTGACAGAGCGCTATATGAAGGCCCCAATATGTGCCTGACTGTCCATATTGACTGACCCCCAGATAATGGCGTTTTGCGGCTCGCTTCTCTGAATGATTTTATTCGAGCATAGGGCTCCTTCCCTATCCCTAAAAATACCCTGCCATCTATTTTTCATGACTGTGTAATAGTTCATAGTCTGGATGGGAGAAAGCATTCGTCTCCACTCCCGGGTGAGTCCAAGTTCATCTCCGAGGGTCCCAGCTGCAAAGAGTGTCAGGGAGATTGCTCCCCCCGCCCAGCGCCCCCACCTCTCTTGAGCCTGGACTACTCACAAGGGTTGGGGTCTGTGTCCAGAAGCTCCTCCAGTGGCATGCAGGGGTAAAGGTGTCTACAAGCTCCGTGGAAGAGTGGGGCCCTTTGGCGTCACTCCTCGGAAGGAACGCACGGGTCCAGAGAGCCAGTCCCAAGCCCACGGACTTCTAGGCCTCCCTCCGCCCACTCTCCCTCGCTGTCCCCAGAGCTGGGAGGACGATGACTCCCCAGCCAGCCATCCGCATCCATCCCCATCACCAGGAGCCCTGGGAGGTTAGTGCACAGCCCGAGTCGCGACAGCCGAGAGGAAGGCAGGACCAGGCAGAGCCACCCCCCTCCTGCTCTGGGACATTCACCCCTGCCTGCCATGCACACAAGCATGCAAGCACACATACGCACACCCATGCACACACACACAAATGCACGCACACACGTGCACATATACACATGTGTGTGTACACATCCATGCACACACGTGTGAGAGCTGAAAGGGGAGAGGGAGAGGTGATGGCTGCAGAGGCTGGTCCTAACTGTCCACTCGTCTGCCGACCCCAGAGAGAGTCCCACCCTCTGAGAAGGGACGCCTCCCACCTGCCCCAGGGCTGCCGTCCTCCCTGGTCCGCCTGCCCTGTGCATTCCTGCATGTGTACGTGCATGCGTGTAGTGTGTGTGCGTGCGTGTCCATGTGTGAGTTCACCTATGTACCTGCAGGGGGTGCCTGCGAGTGCTTGTGGTGTGCACGTGTGCCGGGTCCACACATGTGCGTCCCCCGTGTGCGTGGATGCGTGCAGGTGTGTACACACATGTGCACGTATTGCAGAGAGGTCAGTCAGGGAGCAGCCCAGGGCCCCGTGCCCTCGCGAACACCCTCCCCCCTGCCACCCCCAGAGCTCGGAATTCTTTCTGCTCCTCTGGCTCTCCGGAGCGGGGTCCGCTCCTGGAAACCCCAGAGCACACACGTCTTCCCTTCCAAAGAGAAGGCGAACGAGGTTTCTGACAGCCTGGCACGGGACGGGGGGGGGGGGGGGTGGGCAGGGCGGGAGGGGGAGAGAGACAGGCAGTCAGGAGCACAAGGGACAGAAAGCTCCGGACGCGAAGGCAGAGGCAGGAGGGAGGGCCGAGGAGCGAGGGGCGGGCGGCTCCTTGTCCTGGGAGCCCAGGGGGCCCCTCCCTGCAGCGGGCAGCCCCGGAGGAGGAGGGGGCGGCCCCGCGGCAGGTCCGGCCCCTGGGTGGGGCCGCCCGGACCAGCCTGCAGGGGTATAAGTGGGTGCCGCCCCTGGCACCTGCGAGCAGCCCGTGCAGGTGCCCGGCAGGCGGCTCCGGCCCGGCCCCGCCCCAGCATGAGCTCCTTCGACCTCCCGGCGCCCTCCTCCCCGCGCTGCAGCCCCCAGTTCCCCAGCATCGGCCAGGAGCCCCCCGAGATGAACCTGTACTATGACAGCTTCTTCCACCCCCCAGGGGTGGCCAGCCCGCAGCGGGCCCCCGCCTTCGAAGGGGGCGGCGAGTACGGGGCCCCCCCCAACCCCTACCTCTGGCTCAACGGGCCGGCCCTCACCCCGCCGCCCTACCTGCCCGGGGGCCCCGGCGGTGGCGGTCCCTTCCTGCCGCAGGCCTACGGGGTGCAGAGGCAGCTCCTGCCCGGCGTGGCCGGCCTGGGGGGCAGCGACCTGGGCTGGCTGCCCATCCCCTCGCAGGAGGAGCTGATGAAGCTGGTGCGGCCCCCCTACTCCTACTCCGCCCTCATCGCCATGGCCATCCACGGCGCGCCCGACAAGCGCCTCACCCTGAGCCAGATCTACCAGTACGTGGCCGACAACTTCCCCTTCTACAACAAGAGCAAGGCAGGCTGGCAGAACTCCATCCGCCACAACCTGTCCCTCAACGACTGCTTCAAGAAGGTGCCGCGCGACGAGGACGACCCTGGTAGGCCCCCTCCCCCCTTCTGGAACTTTCTGAGGGGGCCTGCCCTCTCCCAGCACGGGAGCTGAGGGGAGGCGGGAGGGAACCACCCCTCCTTCGGCCCCAGCCAGCGGGCAGGGAGGTCCCTGTCCCTGAGCTTCCTGCTCCCCGTGGCTCCTTGGCCAGGGGCGGCATCTGCGGGCTTGGCAGAGGCGGCCTTGGTGTGTCTGTCCCTGGCACCCAGCAGCCGGCGTCCTCAGCCCACGGACAGCCCAGCCCTACAGGGCTGCAGACCTGCCCCTCCTGGGGGAGGCAGCTGCCAGCGTCCCCCACGCCCACCTCTCACCCAGGGCTTGGACTTGTCCACCCCAAACTCACACCCATGGTCCAGAATGGAAGTGGGAGGGCGGTGGGAGTGACTCCAAGGAACCCCCCACCCCCCTCTGAGCCAGCGAGGGCAGGGTGCCTGGTGCCCCGAAGGAGGCAGAGCTCACAGGACCCCATAGATGCCCTTGCGGGGGGAGATGATATGAAACGGACCCACTTTCCAGATGGGCCGGGGAGTTCTGCCGAGTCCCTCTGTCGTCTGGACCAAAGCCGCCTGGGGCCTTGGTGTCTGGCCCCTCCCACGCCCTTCCCCTTCCTACTTACCCCCGGAGACCCCCAGGACTGGCAGTGCCCTCTCACCCGGCCTTTCTCTGGGCGCCCCGCAGGCTGGGGTAGAGGTGGGTGCCAGACCCCCGCCCCCGGGTGTGGGCACCCGCCCTCTCTCCATCCCAGTCTTTGTCCCCATCTCTGGCACTGGTCCCTTCCTCTCTCATTCCTGACCATCAGGAAGAATTCCCCCCCCCACCCCCGCCCTGCCTCCACTCACCGCTCCCGCCTTTCCTGCAGGCAAGGGCAACTACTGGACCCTCGACCCCAACTGCGAGAAGATGTTCGACAACGGGAACTTCCGCCGGAAGAGGAAGCGGAAATCGGATGTCTCCTCGGGCACCGGCTCCTTGGCCTCGGAGAAAACAGAGACCAGCCTCGCCGGGGACGGGGCCAAGACCGTGGAGACCCCGGACATCCTGGACGGCACCTCACCGGGCACCGCCGGCTCCCCGGAGAAGCACGGGTCCCCTCCCCCGCCAGGCGCCCCATGCCTCAACAGCTTCCTGTCCAGCATGACGGCCTACGTGAGCGCCTCCAGCCCCCTGGGCCGCCCCACGGCCACGCCGGGACTGAGCTCATCGGAGCCCGCCGACAAGATGGGGCAGAACTTGCTGAACTTCAACACTTACCCGGCCATCGGCAACCTGGGCGGCCCCTCCGGCGGGGGCGACTGGGCCAACCCCGGGCCCACTGGCGCCCTGGGCTACGGGGGCTCCGTGCTCAACCAGTTCAGCCCCCACTTCTACAACAGCGTCAGCGCCAACAGCGGCCTCTACCCCCGAGAGGGCACGGAGGTCTAGGGACCCACAGCTCCCGCGCCCGTGGGCGTCCCCGCAGCCGGGTGACCGCGTCCTCTGAGCTGGCACGCTGGGGCCCAAGACCGAAAACCACTGGACACCTCGGTCTTCTGTTTGCCGTTGCCCTCGGTGCCCGGAGGGGTGTGAGCCGCCCTCCACGTAGCCCTCGCCCTGTGCCGGGTGCCAGCCTCGGCTCTTGCCATCATCACGCTCGCGCCTCGATCTCTCCGGGGCCAGCCTTCGGTCCCCTCCGTGGCAGCCAGCCGGGGACCCCCAGGCTCAAGGCAGTTTTCAGTTTCCAGGAGTCAAGTCCGGGTCTGGGAAGCCCCCTCAGAGGGAGGGCGCCGGGCGGCAGGAACAGAGAATCAAGGTGCCAAGGAAGGTCAGGGCGAAGGGCTGGCCAGGATGCAAGGCTGACCACGGCCAAACGAAGACCACAGCTCCCAGACTGTCAACGGGCTGCAGCCCCAGCTCTGGCCCCGGCTCTTCGCTGCAGGACCCCGTCCATTGCCAGAAGGGCAGTGAGGGGCCTAAACTGGAGGCCCAGACTCCGGTCTGCAGGGGAATGCGTGCCCCATCTCCCCCTCCGGGCAGCGGGGACAGGCGGGCTGTGCCCCCGGCCCAGCGGGCACTGCCCATCACAGACTCCACGCTGCCCGGCTTCCCGGGCGCTCGTCAAGGCCCAGTGAGCCGGAGGCGGCCCCGCTGTCCAACAGCAACAAGGCGCCCGCACCCCTGCAGGGCGGGAGAGGGGGGTGACGCCGCGTCCCGGCCAGGGCCACTCTTCCTTGTTTCCCTGTGTCCTCTGCCTGCCTGTCACCGTCCCTCCCGGCGTGCCTGGGAAACTGTGTCTCTTTTTATTTCTTTTTAATTAAAGAGGGAAAAAAAAAAAAACCAGCTCCGTGTGTTCCTTCCTTGTGAGCTCTCCGGTCGCTGCCGCCGGACGCGTCACGGGCCAAGTGCAGACAGCGTTGAACGGGAGACAGACGCGACGGTCTCTCTGCGGAGAGAGGACAAAGGGGGGTCGGGGTGCGAGGGGCGGGACATGGGGGGACCTCACCCTGACTTTTCAGATCAGGTCCTGACTATGCCACTGCTGCTTGCTGAATCCCCCCCCCCCCAAAAAAAAAACCGCCTTGTGCAAGGGCTGGTTCTGCCCATTACATGAAGCAGAAAACTGAGGGCGCTGGTGGCTGAGACTTGGCTTGGGTGCACCATCAGGTGCCTGGCCAGGGCCTCGGGCTCCCGGGCCCCCAGTTCTGTGGCCCCACCAACCCTGTGGCCTTCCCTAGGCCTGTGCTCAGGGCCCACAGGCACTGCCACAGCTCACTGGGGGCGTGGCACACATGACCAGAAGAAGAGGACTTGCAGCTGCTCCAGCCGCAGTGCCCTGCTCTGGGGGGTGGGGGCGGGGAGCAGGTGTACCGGGGCTTCCCGCTTGGGCCCTGCAGGACTCTCCTTGCCTGGAGTCGGGCCAGGACAACGGTGCCGGCCATGGTGACACTCACTCCAGGGCCACCAGGTGCCAGACTGTGTTGCACTGGCTCCGCCAGGGAACCTGATGCCCTCAATCTCCTCCCGTCCATTTGACAGGCGACAGTGGTCTGGAGAGACTGTTGGTGGCCACGGCCAGCACTCGGGATGGAGCTCTCCACCACTGCGCTCCCGGGGTGGCCAGGGAGGAAACCCAGGGGGACGGAGAAGAGGACCGGGCGGGCAGGATCCAACCCGGCACCCCACGGGCTCTTTCCCCGGGAGCCAGCCTGCAGGAGGTAAGGGAAGGGCCCCGTGTCCAGCTAGGAAATGCTTTCTAGCCCTGGCTGAGCCGGGCGGAGGGGGTGTCCCCGCAGAGGCGGGTGCAGGCGCTGAAGCCCAGCCCGGGGGGTGGGGGGCCGCGGCCGCCCACTGGTGCCGAATCTTTCCTCACCGACTGCTATGACCCCACTTCCTCCCCCGGGACCTCACGGCCTCCCCCAACCAGCAGGTGAGCCCTAGGCCTGGGGCTGTTGGGAACTGGAGCCTGTGTCCGTGCCGCTGAGGGACTCTCCGTTGCTCTTCCTCCAAGGGCCTCTTTTGACGTTTTGTGATAGTGAGAGGACATGTTTGTGGTAGCGTTCGCACCCTCACCACTAGTGTTAGTTAATTTTTGTTTGCAGTGCCATTGCACCACATCCTCAACCAAAGTGCCAGGATCACACACACACACACACACACACACACACACACACACACACACACACACAACCCCCTTTGCCCCTAATCCCCGGCATGCGTAAATGCCATCCCAGTGATGGGGGCTCCTTGGTGCCCTTCTCCTGGTCGGTTCTCTGAGAGGAGGTGAGAGGAAGGGGGAGGACGGGGAAGAAAGAATGAGGCCAGGCTGCTGTCAGCCGGCATCACGTCCGCACACAGTGCTGCAGGCCCGAGCTGTTGGACGGGGCCACAGAGCAGGGGATGGGCGGCAGAAAACCCAGCTGGCAATGGCAAGAGACCTCTGGCCCTGCAGAAGTCCGGCGTGTCTCACGAACCCAAGGTGTCTCTGGCAGCACTCAGCTGGGCTGCATTTCTTGAGCAGAGCTGGTGGCGAGGGACAGATAACGCTGAGACTGTTCCTCTCTAGGGTGGAGCAGACACTGGAGCCGGGACCAGCGCGCAGAGGGCTTGGGAAAACCGTCTCCCCAGGACCCGATGCCCAAGCATGGCTGCAGGCAGGACGCGAGTCTAGAGTCAAAGGTCAACGGCCAGAATGAGTGACACAAACCAGGTCTGTGAGGCTTGTGAGCGCACCCCCAGCCCTCCAAACCCTGAGCGGGAACATCTGATGTGTGTGTGTGTGTGTGTGTGTGTGTGTGTGTGTGTGTGTGTGGGTGGGTGGGTTACAGGAATGGGTCAGGATGGTCAGACTCGAGCACGCGAGTTGCTGTCACTGTGTGATTGGATTTCCGATTCCCCCCACTTTGTGCCTCGCTGCGGGCGATGTTGTGACACCAGGGGTCATACACACACTTGACTGTGGTAATGGAGGTCGCTCATACGCCTGGCTGCCATGACAGAAGTCACTCATGTGCCCTATTGTGGTCACGCACACGCCCAACTATGGAACGGGGAGGTCACATAAACCCCCGACTGTGGTGATGGGGGTCAAACACACGCCTAACTGTGGTCATGCACACTCCCAACTGTGGTGATGAGGGAGTGCCCAACTATGGGACAGGAGTCACAGAAACCCCCAACCATGGTGATGGGGGTCACACACATGCCCAACTGTGGTGATGGGGGGTCACACTGTGGTAACAGGGGTCACACACACGCCTAAGTTTGGTCGTGCAAATGCCCACCTGTGGTGACGGGGGTCACACACGCGCCCAACTATGGGACAGGGGTCACATAAACCCCCGACTGTGGTGATGGGGGTCACACTGTGGTAACGGGGTCACACACATGCCTAAGCTTGGTCATGAACACTCTCAACTGTGGTGACGGGGGTCACACACGCACCTGACTGTGGCGATGTAGGTCACACACACGCCCACCTGTGGTGACAGGGGTCACGCATGCCCCTGACAGTGGTGCTCATCGAGCCTGGCCCCCCACCCCTTTCACTGTCGTGCTCACCCTCACGAGCACACTGGCCTCCCGCTCATCGCTTATCGGAAGGGGCACTCCCGTATTCTGGTGTCTGTGCCCCAGGGGGACCCCGGTGCCTCCCCTGCAGGGGTGGGCTGGGCTGGAGTCACACTCGCTGGCTGTGGCTCCCGGTCATGTTTACTCCCCTAGATGAAAGCAACCAGGGGAAGCGTGCAGAGGAGCGAGGGAGAGAGCTGAGAGGTGGGAGCGCGTGCCTGGAGTGCTGAGTCTCCGAGCCCAGCTCCCAGGACCGCGTTGCCCCCTGCGCACCTCCGGGGTGGCCCTGGGGACCCCAGCAGCGCCTGGCCCCAAAGGAAGAAAGGACTCTGTATCACGGTCAGTCGCTGTGTGAGGACAAGGGAACACCAGGCTGTGCAGGGGGGCTGCTTGTCTGTGGCCCTGAACCGGTGCCTCCACTGACGACGCCCCAAGGCCGCACCCATGTCGGAGCAGCCAGCAAAGTCGCCCTCAGCGCACCCAGTGAGCCCCCTGGGAGGGTCTGGCCACTGAGAGCACTCCCCTGGCACACACTTGAGCCCTGTCCTGCTCGTCCTTGTGTGCCTGGGCTTACAGACGAGGCTTTGAGGGCTTCCTGAGCTCGCTGCCCTGAGATGGGAACAGGCCGCGCTCGGCCGCGTGCGCAGGGGCTGACTGGCTGGGCGCTTTTGCCCATGCACGTGGGAGTCGCTGGGCTGGAACGTGGGCCAGCGCCTCTGTGGTGAGCAAGCGAGTTGGATGTAGGCACGGCAGGCGGTGAGGGGAACCCTGTCTCCCCCAGCCAGCGCCTCTTGGCCTCGAGCCTCGAGGACGGTGCTGCTGGGGTTGCGCCATGCACAGGTACATTCCAGAACCTTCTAAGCAGCAGAGGCCACCGGCCAGTGGAGCAGGACAGCTGTCCGTGGGCAGCAGTGGCAGCTCCCAGCTTCCGTGGGCCAGAACCCAGGACCCAGGCCTTTAGGGGAGGCACGTCCTGTTGTAGGCCTCCAGGGCGCGTCATGGACACGACAGGGCCCAGCACCAGTGACCGGATGGACTTTGTGCAAAATTCACGGGGTTGGGGGTGGGGGGCTGGGGAGGTGACTCACAGGAAGGTTCCTGCCCCATGACCCCACACCCCCGAGCACGGCCAGGCCCACGGCTTTGCGGCCCCAGACAGTCAAAAGGAAGCCGCTCACGTGGGTAGCAGGTGTGGGGAGAAGGTCTAGAGCTTCTGCCACTTGGGAGATGCTCCCTCGTGCCTCCTCTGTGCTGGGCGCTGAACCAAGCAAGAGAGGCACAGGCAGGCGAGGAGGGGGGCAGACAGCGGGTGCAGACGCAGATCTTCCCGTTAAATAAATGCCCCTTCATCGCCACAGCAGTCGAGAAAATGAAACGAG